TTGTTTGTATTTCTCCAGCCTTTTCACCAATTCCTCGTGCTCCTCGTCGAAGTCAGCAATCTTCTTGCGGTAATATTCCAGCAGCTCGTGGGAGGGGTTCAGATGGGCCAAGCGCTCACTGACGGATGGCAGGGGAGAAAAATCCTCCTGACTCGGACAGCGGGACTCAGCAGATCTGGAAGAGGCACGGGGTGTTGGATAGAAACAGCCTCTGATGACATGGAAGCTTCAGATGGGAAAATTAAAACACTTTCTAAAGTAGCTAAAAAGATTTTAAATTTTTACACAGATTAGTTTGACTGTTCTCTGCATATTACCAGGAGATCAGGGCGTTTAGGAGAACCAAGAATTTTGATAAAAAGCAGCTTGCTGGTGTATTGTACTGTGGAGGAGGGCCCCACCCATGGAAAAGATAAAAAAAGGGGTCATGGAAGCAAAGCCTCATACATTATTTGGGGAGGATAACTATGAAAAGAGGAGAAAAAGAATAGAAAGACAGAACTCAGGGGATAAAAAGTCCATTGCTGTTCAATTAGAAGCAGCAGCCACTGTGAAATAAACATGAAAACAATTTGTGACAGTCCCTATCGGACACCCAAACAGAAAAACACTTCCTAAAGACTGAATGAAGATTCAGGCCAGCTAATACACCAGCCATTATAATCTAGGAATCTATGTGCTTTCCTTTCTGGTGTACTTGATGTTCTCATCCACATAGCTTGTCCACCCTCAACACTGAAATAGATGCTGCCAAGTTCTTGAATCTTATGTTGAAGTGCTACATGGAAAGCAAGTCGATGCTATATAAATCAAATCAAGGATATGTATAATTACATACTGTATTTTTCCTCAAAACAGTATTTAGTGCATTCAAACATGCAGCAAATTTGCAAACAGAGCTTCAGGGTTAAAAAAAAAACACCTTAGAAAGTGCTCTTTTCATTAGTTATATTGATACAACAACAAACAGCAAATTTGCAAACAGAGCTTCAGGGTTAAAAAAAACCACTTTAGAAAGTGCTCTTTTCATTAATTATATTGATACAACAAATTTTTTTTTTTTTTTTTGTAAATGATACTATGAATAACAGAAGCTAAGAAGCCTCTTGACTAAAGAGCTGCTTAGTCGGAACCTGGTAGGGGAGAATCAGGAATTTTGATGAAAGAGCGATCTGGCAGGTGACACTGAGGCAAGGATGACCTTTATGGGGCCACTCACCAAAGCTGCTTGGATCAGAACCCCAGTGCACACCCATGAAAACTCTGGGCACCGTAGGAAAGCATTAAATACACCAAAGTGTAAGTATTGAGTGCAGGAATTTGCTGTCGGACCAGAAACTCCTTAAACAACACACTCACAGAAATCACACCAGAAAGAAAGAGGCAACCCAGGCACAAGCTGAACGTCTTACTGCTGAAGAGCAGCAGAAAGATGGGAGAACAAGGAAGCACAGCAGGTACAGCAGCAGACCCAGAGGTGCCCTAGGGCAAAGCAGTAAGGAAAGGGCTCGGGGAGCCCGTTCCACCGAGCATTAAGGAAAGGGCTCCGGGAGCGGCGGCAGATGGGAGAACAAGGAAGCACAGCAGGTACAGCAGCAGACCCAGGGTGCCCTAGGGCAAAGCAGTAAGGAACGGGCTCGGGGAGCCAGTTCCACCGAGCATTAAGGAAAAGGCTCCGGGAGCTGCGGTGTCCCGGCAGCAGCAGCCCCACACTCACTACCTTGGGCAGCGCGGGCTCCCCGCAGCGCGGTCCGCTGCGCTCATCGCGGCCCTGCGGAGAGCCGAGCTGTCCATGGTGAAGGACAGCGGCTTCGGACACCCCGGTAGGAGAGTGAAGCGGGGGGTGCCCGGCGGGAGCCCCGCTGGAAAAGCCCCGGGATAGCGGTCCCGGGATGGGGGCCCCGCCACCGCCTTCGCACGGCTCCAACGGCCGAGCAACGGCTGCACCGGCCCCGCCGCGGCTTAAACGGCGCGACGCCCCGCCCGCGCGGCCTCCTCCAATCACAGACAGGCTTTCATGCGGGGCCGGCAGCCTGCGCCAATCAGCGCCCGCGATACGGGCCGCAGCGGTTGCGCGCTGGGGCGTCTGGGAGTTGTAGTTCCGGGGTGGGCGGAGGTCCTATGGCGGAGCATAGGGCCTGCGCGTTTGGAGCCGTGTTTGTGAGGGCAGCGATTCGCTACGGGCAAAATAAAACGGGCAAAATAAAACCCCTTTTCCTGTGAAAATGGCCTGGCATTCGGAAGCAGCCACAAGAAGTTACTAGCACAAATTCTGGCTGAATTAAATGTGTTGTTTAGGTTATCCCGATGCCTTTTAGCACTAGTGTTGCCATTTATGCACCAAACGATTTCCTAATTTATTAAGTGTGCTGGAGAAAAAAACAATTTACTCAGCAATAGGGCAGGGTTCTTTCTGCCTTAAGGCTATGTTTAAAAGACACGGACATGGAAAAAAAAAAAAAAGGCTTATTTATGAAACCACAAGGTCCTTCCTCATCGCAATTTGCAGCTTTCTTGTGAGGGGAAGAGGAGGGGCAGGCATTTATCTTTTTTGTCACAAGGGAGGGAATGGCCTTGTGAAAAACGTCGATCACTTGTGTTAAAATTTTACAAGTTTAATAGTAATAAAATAATTATAAAAAATAGTAATAAAAATTAGAGCAATGAGAATTTGGACAAGCAGAGTTAGGACAATAAAAACAAAGAATTATGGACTGGGTGTCTGCAACTGTGCCATAGAAAGACACCTCATTAACAAAGAATTAACTCTTAAAAGCAATAGCCTGTTGCATATTCATATATGTCATGCATGATGCAAATATTCTTTTCAAACAAAAGGTGTTTTCTGGTTATGGTCAACTTCCTCCCTCATCTTGTGAAACAATCGTCTTGGTTCCTCAAAGTCTGGTTCTTCCTGATAAGGGGGCAATAATTCTTCTCTTGGGTTTTTTTGGTGTCTTGTTGCTGTTATCTCTCCTTGTGCTAGTTAGAAAAAGTATCTTACATCCCGTAGTTTCTGTAGCCTAAAACTATATTCACCACACTACTTAAAAAGATGAGTGCAGCACTACAAAAAAAAAAAAAAAGGATTAATACAACATAACTTTCCAACGTAACACATATAGTATTCATTTTAATATTTGCCAAAAGCCAATCACATAATATGCATTTTTCATAGCCTGAAGCTGTGCAGGGCAGGTTCAGGTTGGATATTATAAAAAGCTTTTCCCCCAGAGGGTGGTGGGCACTGAACAGCTCCCCGGGGCAGTGGGCACAGCACAGCCTGCCAGGGCTCAAGGAGCGTTTGGACAATGCCCTCAGGCACAGGGTGTGACTCCTGGGGTGTCCTGGCCAGGGCCAGGAGCTGGGCTCGGTGATCCCTGCAGGTCCCTTCCAGCTCAGAACATTCCATGGCTCTGTGATTCTTCTTCAAACCAATTTCCTCATGAAATAGAGAAAATAGCAGGGTAGGTAATTTCTCTTGGCAAAGTCCAGAAGAAAGGCTGCTGTTAGGGACTGGCCCTGATCACCCTTGTTGGTTGGTCCCTCCCAGCTCAGGATATTTTAGATTCCCTGGGATTAGACAGGGGGCTCTCCCCACTCTCAGAGACCAGCACATACACTGTACAAGGGGCTGAAGTCTCACAGTGAAACAATAAATAACCCCAGATAACCAAGAAAAATAAAAACTGACATGGAGTACACGTGGACAGGTGTTTTAAAGGCCAACAGCCCCAAAAAACAGAGCAGGTAATAAAGAAAAGCTTAAAATTCTCTTTTAAAAAGGATCTCTTTCAGAACTGATGAGAAAAACGCCCCCTCGGGTTATATAGGATATTTAGGTTTTGCTGCTGCAACTTTCCCAGCATTGCCTCCCAGAGACCTCCACCAGCCTAAATATCTTAACATAAAAACCAAAACAACCTTGAAGAGTCTACAGGGAAACCAGCAAAAGACTGGATCTCAAAACAAAGCTTTTGAGCACGGAGATTTTTCCTTCTGGTATTCCTGGCTAAATCACTGGTTGTCTTAGAAATCAGGTGCATGATGGTTCTGCTCTTGGGAATACAACATACATGTATTTCCTCAAAAGAATCTGGTACAGCCCTGTGTACAGAAGACACAACCAAATAATAAAAGAAAAAAAAAGTGGAAGGAGCTTGTAGAAATATATAATTTCTAGATCCTAGTAAGGAAATGTCTGCATCCCACATGCTTATGCAGTCCTCACTAAAATTATCCAGCATCCATGTCAGAATCCCCCTATGAAATGCAAGAATACTTAGCAACAAGACAATAACATCAATTTGCCCAATGTTTTATAAGATCAGTTTGGTTTTACCTGTAACTTCTGTTAAAATTAGCCACTTGCATGGAGGTGTGTTTCCCACACGTAAAATGTGGGTGGCACCTCTTTAATCTGGCAGGGAAGTGATGCAGAGAAATGTTTTGATCTGCGTGCATCAGATCTTGCAAAGCCTCCTGGTAACAGGAGGAGGGAATTAACTTTTCCTGAGGCTGAAATAGAACACTGACACGGAGGTTTGAATAATCAGTAAGAATAAAGTGAAATTTGGTAGACAGCGAAGGCACAGTCCTGGTTAAACACAAAAAGACATACAATTTACTTTGGAAGGCTGGGTTGCAGTGGATAGGTAAAAAATAGAGATCTCTCTGTGGTGACAGTGACAGGGCCCGAGGGAACGGCCTGAAGCTGTGCAGGGCAGGTTCAGGTTGGATATTATAAAAAGCTTTTCCCCCAGAGGGTGGTTGGGCACTGAACAGCTCCCCGGGGCAGTGGGCACATCACAGGCTGCGAGTGCTCAAGGAGCTTTTGGGCAATGCTCTCGGGCACAGGGTGTGACTCCTGGGGTGTCCAGCAGTCGGACTCGGTGATCCTTGCGGATCCCTTCCCCATCCCGGCGCTTTCCTCCGGCACCGGCCGCTCCTGAGGGCACGGGGGGCGGGGCCTGCGAGGGGCGTGGCCCGGGAGGGGGCGGGGCCTCCAGCGGCGCTCCTGACGTCCGGCACAGACAATGGGCGACGCGGCCCCGCGGAACCGGAAGTGAATGGCTTGGATTTCGTCGCACATTCCTCCGCGGCGGAAGTGGAGGTGGCCCCGCCCTCTCGGTCCCCGGTCCCTCCTGCCCCTGCGCGGTGCCCTGAGGGGCGCGGGCGGGGCGGATTTGCGCTGGGATCTGTCGCGGGAGCGTTCCCGCGAGCGGCAGGCGCGGAAGTCACCTCGCCAGAAGAAGCGCGGCGGGGGGACTACTTTCTGGATCGGAAGGCAACGTGCAAAAACTTCCGGGGAGGGCTTTGAAAGCGCGTCACTTCCGGCGGGCCGGGACGCGAGGAGCGGGGCTCGGGCGGGGGCAGCGCTCCCGGCCCGGACAGCGGCAGCCGCGCTTGGCAGCAGATCCCGCCGCGCCGCCCGGCAGCGCCGCCGGGGGATGCGCCTCGGTCCCCGGCCCAGCCCCTGAGCCCCCCGGCCGTCCCTCTCCGCCCTGCGCTCCCGGCGGCGCCGGCGCCCCCCTCCCCCTGCGGCCATGGCGGGGGGCGGCGGGTCGCGCTATGCGGCCGAGTTCGTGCCGCCGCCCGAGTGCCCGGTGTTCGAGCCCAGCTGGGAGGAGTTCAGCGACCCGCTCGGCTTCATCGGCCGCATCCGCGGCCTGGCCGAGAAAACCGGCATCTGCAAGATCCGGCCCCCCAAGGTACCGCCCGCCTCGGCGGCTGCGCCCGGCGGGTCCCCGGGCTGCGCAGGGCGGTCCCAGAGCGGCCGGGCCCTCGGTGGCCGGGCGTGAGGAGCCGGGCAGGCCCTTCCCCCGCTCGGGGTTTCGTGTGTCCCTTTCCATAGGCCGCGGTGTCCGTGCCAGGGACGCCGAGGAACCTGTGGAGTCTTTGACCTCCGAGCGGGGCTTTGTAGAGGCTGCTTTGGAGCAGCTGAGAGGCGAATAGTGAGTGCATGGCCGTGCCCGGGACTTGGTGCTATTTTTACTTCCAAAACGCCAGCAGCCGACTTGTGGAAGCTGGGGAGGCTTTGTAGGTGAAATCGGGCGTTTGCTCCGGGCGGGGAAGACGGAGAAGGAAGGGTGTTTGTTAGTGATGGATCATTGTAAAGACCATTTTTAGACTGTTAAGAGGAGGACGGCCAGCCTGTTTGTGTAGGGGCATTGCGTTTGTGCACGGCTCTTCAGGGGGCAGCAGCTTGATCTGTCCAATTTACCTGCCCCAAAGACTGGACACGTCTTCACAGGGACAGCATCAGGCAGCTTGGCACTTCTCTGAATTATTAAAGTACAAATAAACTTCAAATGCAGCTGTTAGTAAGAGGCTAGAAAACAGTGAGAGGGATAAAAACCTGGAAAGAGAGAGCGTGTAACTGAGAACAGTGTGGGGGTTGCTGGTTGACAAATAAACTTCAAATGCAGCTGTTAGTAAGAGGCTAGAAAACAGTGAGAGGGATAAAAACCTGGAAAGAGAGTGTGTAACTGAGAACAGTGTGGGTGTGGGGGTTGCTGGTTGGATTTCGTGGTTCTCTCCTGACCCGGAATGTGTTTAGTTTAACGACATGGTGAAAACTTGACCTCCAAGGGGCTGCCCTTTCTAAAATAAGCTGCATAGCTCAGGTTGAGAGGCCACAAGGAGCAGATGCAGATCCTGTTCGTTGAGGATAACTGGAACTTTCCTGGCTGTTGGATGCGTTCGTGTTCCTCTGAGGCCGCTGAGCTGCTCGCCTTGCGGGGTTTCACACGACGCACAGGTTGATTTGCAACCTGCAGTAATTGCTGAATCACACGTTTCTTACTACCCTGACTGATTAATTGCTGTTTCCTATTAATAGAAGTTGTAAATATTTCAGGTTGTGCTCGAGGCCTTTGTGTGCTGCAGCAGACTGTGTGGCTTGCCCACCTGTAATGGCGCGTCCCTCTCCTGGTGTAGTCACTGCCAGGGGGACGATCTGCTGTAACCAAAGCTTTGGTAAAAAGTGCTCAAAAGCTGAATTACTTGTTTTGATGTTGTAACACGGTGTTGAGAGGTGGGGCTGGGAGCCACTTGTGGTTGCAGCGACCCCTGACAGTGCTGAGAAAATCATTATTTATGGCTCCGTTTCTGTTCAAGAATTGGGCTCCCGACTGGTAGTCTTGTCTTTATTGAAATGACTGTAAACAAGCAGAAAACCATTGGATGTGTTATGCTGTGCCTGATTTAGTCTTTGTTGCTGTTGACACTGAGGATTTTTCAGTGTGCAGGATGTATGGATTCTTTATTTAAAGTAAATAAAGACCAGCTACAGAGTGTATCTCATGTTTAAGCTTAGCATGAGGTAATGCATACTGAGATGCTTTGAACCTTATTTTCTTTGACATTTTTGAATCTGTGAGGATCTTTCTTCAGACTGAAATATGGTGGGAGGAACATTGTTGTATAAGCACAAAAATGTCTTAAAATTGGAAAATGATATCACCAGTTGTTCTTAGAAACTAATTTACTATCAGAACCTTGTTTACTCAGGTGTTATTAGGGTGTTTGGTTTTGTGCATTTTTCAGAGAAGTTTCTGGAAGCAGTAAAGTGTCTTTCTGTCTCTGTTTAGGACTGGCAGCCTCCATTTGCATGTGAAGTACAAAGTTTTCGTTTCACTCCACGAATTCAGCGCCTGAATGAACTGGAGGTGAGCTTTTCCACTGTTGATATAATTTTGTGTTTGCACTGAAAGAATGAGGTCTCCCTGCTTGAGATTTGCATCTTGGCAGGTTTCTGGATGGGGAACACTTTAGAAGCCCATAGACCATATCAGTGTTTATGCTTGGCAGTGACAGAACTTGTATAAAACAACTCTCCCTTGCTTTGAGAAAAATCTGGTTTTTATTTTATTACCCAAAATAACCACAGGAGTTTTTCCCATTCACCTGGTAGTGTCTAGAATGAATTCCAAATATCATGTGTGTAGTAAGAGCAGCCAGTGTCTATGCTTCAGAACTCCACAGGCAATGTTTTTTTCCTCTTAAAATATTTCCTGCTGCTCTGATGCCTCTGGTTACCTCATACTGTCCTGATAATGCCTTTTAAGCCTTAAAATTATTTTTTTATAGGCTCATTATAGCTGATTAATTTTATGATTTAAAAACTGTCTTGTAAGCAGTATGACCTCCATTCTGTCCTGGTTTTTCCTTTTCTCAAAGCCTTGCTTTGTTCACATACCAAAATGTCATTTGGCTTGTAAATGAGTCTCCTTATGGAAAGTGAGAAGAGGTCCTTTGTGTGGATAAGGCATATATAAAAGCTGGTAATATATAAAAACTGTTGGTAATTGCTCTGCTGCCCACCAATAATTGTCCTGTTCACACAGGACACCACGGTGTTGAGTCTTCAATTCTTTTTGCCAGGGTTGGGATTAAATGCACAGGACAGGATTTCTTGTTTGGACTGAAATGTTCATTAGTTATTATCTGTCTTACAGTCTCACAAGCCATGTGTTCTACAGCACTTCACTCTAACAAACTAAAGAAATGGAGCTGTATCTCTCTCTCTGCAAGGCCTTTTAATCTCTAATTAAGAAATGACACTCAAATTACTTTTAACTTAATAAGCAACCACCTGTGGCCCGCAATGCGGACTTTTTAATCTAATTACACAAAACCCCCCAAACCCATGAAAAAGAAGGTAAAGAAGGACTAGCCTCCACCCTAAAACCTCTATCTTGCTTTATATATATTACTGTATTCTAAAACTTTAAACTCTGGGTTTTCTACCATGTGATACTACACACTTCTAGTCAAACTACACTCCCATAATCTTAATTTTATCATTCTGTTTTGGAAGCATTCTCCACAGCCTCAGGTGAAATGAGGCGTTCTCTTGGGGGTCACAATAAATAATTGTGATTGTGTTTCTCCCTGGAATGCTGATTATTTCATAAGCATGCATTTTGCTTTCAGACCAAGAAATTATTTGGTAGGAATTTAATTTATAGTGTCTTAAATGCAGAAAGAAAAGCATATATAATTTTCTTTTTGTAAAGTCTTTATTTTTAACAATATTTCTATTTTTTTTGTTTTTTTCACCTGACAAAGAAATACCTCCCCTGCGAAGTTGCACGTTGAAAATGGAAACACTATAAAAACTTAACTTGTTTTCTGTCAGGACTCTAAGATTTTGTCATATTTGGTTTTGAACATATGTGATTGTCTACCTTTACTGATTCCAGGCAATGACAAGAGTGAAACTGGACTTCTTGGATCAGTTAGCAAAATTTTGGGAACTCCAAGGATCCAATTTAAAAATCCCCGTGGTTGAGAGAAAAATACTGGATCTGTATGGTCTGAGCAAGGTAAGTATTTGTAGGCCTTAGGCAGACAGGGATTTCAGTTTTCATTCAAGCTCAGGAAACCAAGCAAGAGGAAGGGCTTGTGTTACAGTGCTCATTAATCCAGAGATTAAGTAAGTGGGAAAAATACAGTGAAAAAAAAATTCTGATTTGAATGTTTATGACAAACATGTCACAGTGTAATTAAATTAGTTACCTTTGGTTGGATTCCATACTGCAGGTATTTATTACCTTGTGGAGCTTGAATGTCCTGATGTCAGCTGGCCTCTTGATTTTTAGTTCCCCCTTTTTACATGTGGTGGAGCTGCAGGAGTTTGAGGCATTCTTTGGGAAGGCAGCAGTATGTCTGTGTGCATTTCAGCTCTGATCAACAATTCTGTAATGAATTGGTGCAATTTCTCCTTCCTCTCTTCCAGCAGAGGTTTTTGTAAACACGTATCTTTGAAAATATATAATGTCAGCTCCAGGAATACTTTAATTTCCAAAACAGGCTTGGCTTAAGGCTGGCTAGAAATTAATATTTCCATAGTTATGTTTGGTGAACAGACCAAACTTCTTTTAAAGTTTACACACAAGTCTCTGTTGGAATTTGGTTTTGCACTGGCAAAATATATGTACCATTAAAGACTTAGCTGCTAATAAATATAAATAGGTAGATTTCTTCTTGCAGGGAAAAGACCGAAGTTCTGGTAGTTCTAGTGCTTCTAGGTTAGAGCATCAGTTTCCATTCCCCATCAAGATTTGTTTCTCTTAGGTAAGTAAAAATGTAAATGAGTGTGTTTTTGTTTTAAAGAAAGTCAAGTATTTTGGAAAGTCTGGAAGGGCTGATAAAATACAGAGAAAAGCTGATAAAATGTCTTCCTGTATTTTTTTTCTTTTTGTGTTTATGGTGGTTTACTGGGAAATGCAGAATATCAGAGAGGTACTGGAAAATATCTGGGTCACTGTAATGAGCTGGAACATTTCAGTTGGCTGTAGATTTGCAGCTCTGAGTTCATTTGGTTCGTTATTGGCTTCTTTAGCTGTTGTTCATTCATAGATAATTTTAGAAAACAAGTTTTCCTGGAAGTTTTAAAGATAAGTTGAAATTTAGGACAGGTTTCATTTTAAAAGTTTTTTCTAGAGCTTTTCTGTAAATACGAGGTAAAATAATGATCAATAATATTGTTTTATTTAAGTGTAAGTCTGTGTGATTATAGGAGAAACCACAATTAACGAATTCACTTGTCAGTGTCACAGACTTCTCAGTTTACCTCAGCCTCACAAGGAAACCTTAAATTTCACTCCAGTAACAAAATGTTTTTGCCTTGAGGTTTCTAACAGTATGTGAAACATTAAGCTTGAAATTTAGTCCTCGTGTGTAAAGAAATGCAATGCAAAACTACCCTGCTGTAAAAATGATACTAGTCTTACAACAATATAAATGGAATTATAATCCATTTGTGTTTTAAATTGCTTGGCAGTGGAACTGTAAAAGGAATGGAGGCAGTGGAAGTGTGGCCTGTGTGTTGGAGGAAGCAACTCATGATGTTATACTGCTTGCAGGCAAATGGTCTTGTTTTTAATTGTATATACATATAATTGTAAGCAGTGATAGTTCTGTATGTGAATTACTGGTCTCAAACCAAGTGAAGTCATGTGTAATAACTGGACTGAGTTGGAAGGTAAATTTACTTTTCCCTCTTTTTATAGTAGTCTGTCTTCCCTTCAGGGTTTTGTGAGAGTTCTGAGCTCCAACACTCCCTTCTGCCTGGGGTCTGTTAAAATGGGCTTTATTGCTGGCCAGACTTGATTTTTACAGCAGAATACAAGTCTGGTGAGGGTAAACTTTTCAGTTTGTTCTTATGGTAGGTTTTGTATCTTTTCCAGCACGTGATAAACCTTAACTGTTGGATTCCTCCTGTGGCGGACAGTATGCAATTTACATTTGCTAGTAAATTAAAAATCACATTAAATATACGAAGCAATAAAAATAAGTCAAGTGCTTTGTTATTGAAGGACTAGTCTTTCAGGAAACAAAATCTAATTTCAGGATTCTGTCCCTTTTCACGGAACCTTTTAACATTTGGTTGGTTTAATTGATTCTTGCTTTACGCAAGCTGGTGAGAGCGGCTCAAAACCCTTAACTTTTTATTTATTTCAGATTGTTGCCAACAAAGGAGGCTTTGAAGTAGTGACCAAAGAGAAGAAATGGTCTAAAGTGGCCAGTCGGCTTGGCTACCTGCCAGGGAAAGGCACGGGGTCACTGCTCAAGTCTCACTATGAACGGATCCTGTATCCCTATGAGCTCTTCCAGTCCGGGGTCAGCCTCATGGTGAGATGCTCTTCTTTCATGCTGTGAAGAGGGTTCCCAAAAGGCACACAGAGTGGAACTGGGACGTGGGGTCAGGGCTGTTAGAAGCTCCAGCTGTGCCAACAAAGCTAGAACCACCCTCTTAGTTATCTGTGACAGAATAGTGCTGGAAGTTGTAACGTGACCTTGTGTAGTTATTTTCTGGTGTTTCTTTATGGGACTGAAGTCAACTGTGTTGGGAAGGAAAACAAGGCAAAAGATGATATGCTTCATTGGAAATGTTTATTTTTCTCTTGATAACCTGGTAGCTGGGATTCAATTTTCTTATTTGAAGGGTGAATGAATTAATTGGCCTCTTTTCCAAATGGTGTGTATAATGCTGTGTGACTTCACTCGTCCTGTTTCTTAGCAAACAGAATGATTCATAGGCTGTGGAATGATTAGCACTGCCTGACCAACAGTGTCCTGTGCTCTGCTCCTCTAGGGCATCCAAAAGCCTAACTTGGATCTTAAGGAAAAAGTGGAGGCTGAGGACCTCAGTTCAGATGCCCAAGCTTCCCCAAAGCAGGCTTCAAGGATGAATGTTATGCTGAAGAGGACCAGGCGTGTCAAATCCCAGGTATTCCTGTTGATCAGCTCTTGCAGACAGAATGCTTATTTCTCCCACCAGTGCAGCAGCCTTTGGGAACCTGCTCAGAAGCACCACTGGGAAGCAGTCTTCATTTAACTAAAATCCAGAGAAGTAACTCTCAGTTTGTAACTCTGAGATCTGGTTTGATACAGCGTATGCACAGTTCGTGTCAAAACTTCTAAAAGTTTCTTTTTGTTTACTGACAAGTGGCCTCAGTACCTTGGTAATGAATGTGTCTGTGAAAACAAGACAGAAAGCTGTTTGTGAGTTGATGTTAAAGCTTCTGCTTGTACAAAGTTCTAGAACTTTTTTAAACCTTTTTAAAATATGCCTCTTAATGACATGAATGCAAATACATGTAAGTAATGGTTAACTGTGGAATTGCATGTGGGACTAACTATCTCAAGCTGGGCAGGCAGTTCTTCTGAAGAGCTGAAACAGATGTGTGAGGAGATGATCAGTGATGGCTGGAACTATACAGGAGTTCTACAATTTTTCTGCTGAAAAGCAGTTTCTTTCCTTCTGAATTACTGGTGTTGTAGGAATTTCTGGTATTCTAGTAGGTGATATTAACTCCTGGGAGGTACCCCTGCGAAAATCAGAGTTCAGACTGAGTCACCACCATTTAAAATTGCTGTCTTACTGAAAATAATTGTGGGGTATTGCCCTGATGGCTCTGTTGCACTATTTAAACGAGGCCTTCCCCTTCTGCCAGAGATACTCCTTGCAGGCACCATCCTGAGGCTTTTCACATGAAGTCTGGAGGCTCCCTGCTGGCTCATCAGCAGAGCGTGGGTGAAAGCTGGATTTATATGCAACCAACTTCCTACTTGCTTCATACTATTCTAGACTGAGCTCCAGCACCACAGGGTTTTTTCAAGTGCTCTTTAACTGCCTTTTTTTTTTTACAATGCACCTTTCTTGTCACTGAGGTATTTGAGTATCCTTTATAATTTTTTTGCCTTCTTCTCTGATGCTTTAGACTGAATTGTCTTCTTTAGTGTGTTTTCTCAGCTTGCTAAAGCTGACTTGAAGTTATTTATCATAGCCATATAGCAGTGCATCACACAAGCAGTCCCAGGCCTGTTATCTTCCCAAATCTCTCAAAGTATTGGTAGTGAGTTAAGTAGAAAATCTGAGAGTGCTGCAGGAACTTCAGCAGTCATTTGCTGTATGGAATTCTTCTTTGGATTTGAATTAATCTTATGGTGAAATGCCAGTATGTCCTTTTTTTCTCACACATGGTCTAAAAGTGTCACTTTTATCAAGGTCCTGTGGGATCTTTTTTCCTGCTGATTTCAGTAGAATAATGGTACTTGTCATTTCTCCATGTTGGAAAGATGATTCTTTGGTGATCCTGGCACTGTAAACTGTTTCACTTTGTTTGAAGGGCCTGCAATTCAGAAGTAAGAGAATTTTATTTAGACAATCTGCAAAAAAAAAAAAAAAAAATTAAATGCCTTTTATTAGGCTTGTAGCCATGTTATCTTTTAAGCATTAGTTATTAAAATGGCTGAAGTGAGTTCTTGAATACAGGAAAAACTCATCCTCCTTGCACAGCCAGGAGAAGTAGGTTTTGGCTGTGTTGGAACTGTGTATAACTATCTTAAGTCTTCCCTGGAGCAGCATTTAGAGACAGATTTTTCCTCAGCATCCAGAAATGGTAGCAGTGTAAATAAATATCTGAGAACATGGAGACATTGTTCCAGATTTCAGTGCACCTTTTTATTGTAGACAGGACTCTTTATTGTCTGAAATGCGTACCTGGAATTGGACCAGAGGTTGTCCAAACAATCTTCAGAGAGCCAGTAATATGCAAGTAATGTAAAAACCTACTACATAAATGTCATTCTGCTCTAGCTGAAACGTCTGAATGATTTGTATGTAGTGTGCCAAGTAGTCCAGTGCCTGGTTAGTGAGCATGGATAATTCCACAGACCTCTGCAGATCCTTAGATCTTTTCCAAGCCCTAGAAGTAGTTTCCAAAGATCCTCTGCATCTTCTTGCAGATAACTTACCTTAGAATGGGCAATTAATAAGAAAGTATAAATGTAGTATTCAGACATTACTCAAATAGGGAAGCATCCTCAGCAGTAGGAGGGGGTGAGAGACTTTGAAAAAGCAAATTTCAGGATTTTTTGAGAATGTGAAAACTGAAAGAAAATAGGCAATGGTTGTCCTCTGTGGAGCATAGCTTGAGAGTCTTTGGATACTGTAATCAAATGTCAGTTGGAAACATTGTCTCTGAATAGGAAGGGAATAATTAGATGGTGAGCAATTATGTTTGGAAAATAAACTTTATGCTTTTCTCTGAAGAAAGCTTTCACAAATAAAAGCTGGAGAAAGGCAGCTGAGTTCCTAAAGGCTTGTAAAGAAAATCAAAATAAAAATTAAATTAATTCAGATTAGGAAAAGAGGATGTCCTTAAGGAAAGCTTAAATTTAGGAGAATACTTTCTTAGAAAATGGTAGTGGTATCTTCACAAATGATGTGTTAGGGTGTATTTTAGCTGACAAGGGATTTTTCTAATGAGGCTATGTCATGGTGATTTCTGGTAAGGAATTGCAGTACTGGAACAAGAAGTGCTATCTTCTCAAAGGATATTAACTTAATGTCCAGAGAATTTTCTTAAAAACAATTCTAAGTATGTCTGCTTTCAGGTTTCTTTATGATTGCAGAATAACACAGTAAAAGAAGCTTCAGGGTTTTTTTGCTTGAAAGATTTCTTTCCAAGTCAATAACTGAAACAAAATAGTGAAACAAAAGAACTCTGGGAGATGCTGAGAAATGCCCCAAACATGTAAATATTTTGGTTACTGGTTGTAACCATTGCACATTGGGGGTGGAGGAGTGGGGTTGCAAATGTTTCGGGATTGATGAGGGGTGAGACAAGAGAATAGTGAGTGAATGCAGTGTAACTGGATTGTGTTATTAGTCTTGGCCATATACAAAAAAACCCTTGGGTTGTACTTTCAGTTGAGAAGGTAAAAGGCACAGTCTGTGTCTTCAGGACAAAGAGGAGATAAGAGCAGAACCATGATTTAATCAAGTTCATTTCACTTGGGTAGAGAAAATATAATGCAAAAGTGAGCTGGAGTTTTGTGTTGTTAGCAGTGAGAGAATGGCAAGGAATGCATGATTGCTGCTGCTTCCATGCACTCACAGTTGTGAGTTTGGCTTTTTTTTTTTTTTTTGCACTCTTAAAGGACACAGCAGAAAAATGCTTTGTGGGGCTTCTGAATACTTTTGGTATTTGCACCTTTCAGTATGCATATCCAGTCAGTGTTCATGAGGTTACATAGGAATCTGATTTTTAAAAAACATTAATTTTCCCATATGCAAACTGTTCTTTTTCAAAACTCTGTAGCTCTTTCCACCTGAGCATGAATGGATTTCATCCACTAAAGTTTAGTGGTATCCAAGTAAATCTGAGGAGTTATGAAAATATATTTAGGTAATGTATTTTTAAACTAAGCTGTAAAACCTTCTTGCTGCATGTTAATGATTTGATTTTATTAAATATGATAATAAAATTATTTTTCATATCTCATTGAGAAAACTATCTTTGGTCACAATAGTAGGAGAAATTGAGGAGATTGTTGTTGAAATGATGTCTGTGTGAAATATGTGGGTTGATTCTGTCAGGTTCTATTAGTTGAGAGAATGGTTGAGTTGTTAATGAATTTGAAATGGAAAATGCAGGACTAGGAAGTCTCTGGTGTGTTTGCTTATGGTTTGTTGGCCAAAAAGTTAGGAATTGGTGAGGAAAAATTTGCATGGTTGCACAGTGGGCTTACAAAGTTGGTCACGTATAAAGTGCAAATAATTTAATATCAACATATAAATGTTCAAAATTAGAATATCAGCAGTAATTAGGTTGGAAAGATGCCTGTTAGCATAATGCATACCCAGTTCAGTGGGAACAGGGACTGTAAATATCACTAAAAATTCCTTAGAGTAATAATGCATAGGAAACTATATCTTGAAATGTCTTCTGGGAGCAAGAAAAACAACTGATTAAGGCAGAAGAATCATCTTTTTTAATGTTTATTGCCAGTGTATCAGAACTTATGTTAAACACTTTTTTAGAAGATATTTTTGGGGTTTTTTTAATAATTGATTAAAGACTTTAAAGGCATGTCACCCCAAGGGACAGGCATGAGACATCAGGCCATAACTTGGAAAAATAACAGATGAAGTATCATCAGGAAGCTAACTGAGGAATAACTTCTTTAAAATTACATGCCCACCTTCAAAATTGCTAGTCTTGCTGAGGTCTTTTAAGATCAGTGAATTTCAGGAGGAAGTTTTTGAACAGTGAGAATTTAGTGGCCTTCTATACCACATCAGAGAGATTTTTCAAAGTATAGGGAGGTGGCATAAAGAAAAAGGCCAAGGTAATTGTGTTGCAGATAAAAGCAGAATATTTTCTTTTTTTTATTCTTTCTAATGTTAGATTAGTGGCAGTGATGTGATAAAATGAGGTAGGTCAGTAATGGGAAACAGAAAAGTTCATTAGAGCAGAACACTTCAGGAAACTCATTGACAGGGGCTTGGAGCTGTCCCCAAATGGGTCATTTTACTTCTGATTTTGAGCTTGCCACATGAGTAGCTGTGATCTGAACTGTACTCACAACATTTCATCACAAATAAGCCCAGAAGCAGCCAAGCTTAAGGAAGTTGGTTGGAACTTATTAGTGTCGTGTGGCTGTATCTACACAGGGAAACAGACAAGGAAATCCTGTTGAAACTGCATCAAAATCCAGGCACTTGACTGAATCATAGTGATTTTGGGAAAAGTTGCTCTGGCAGTCTTATTATTTTTTGCAAAATGTCAAACCTAGTTCTTTTATTTGGTGTAGAGGTCACTGCTTGTAGTTGATTCAGAATATTGGATGGGAAATAATTTGGAATTTGGGACAAAAATTCTCTCTCTCACTTCATTTGCATATGTTCATTGCCTTTAGGAACAGAAAATCATATCTTTTCAGGCCTGCTTCTTTTGATGAGCACATATTCTGGGAGAGTGGAATAGAAACAAATTGTGAAGAAACCTGGAGGGGAAATATTGGTGGTTTATGCTGATGTGGTCTCGTATTTATTTTTAGGCAGAGGCAGGAGAAATGAGTAGAAACACTGAACTGAAGAAGCTGCAGATCTTTGGAGCTGGACCCAAGATGATGGGACTGGCATTGGGAGCAAAGGATAAAGAGGGTAATTAAATCTTGGCTCGTAGCTTTCTGTGAGTTCTTTGCTTTTAGTGAGACTGCTAAATCTTCCTGAATGTCTCTAGAGACAGTACTAAGAAGAAGGCAAATCAAAAGTGGAAAAAGAAAGCTAAGTATTCTAGAGTTTCATTCACAAGAGATTTACAGAGTGCTTCATATAACTTGGCAGAGTTTCAGCTCTTTATGTATTATATAGTAACAATAACAATTAAGCAGCTGTTCCATTTACTGAGTGACTGAAAGGAGAAGCAGGATTTAAAAGTGCTGAAACTGATCCTGCCAGCAAAGTGCACAACTTAGGAGTCTAATTCACTGTTTTACATGAAGCCATTGGGATCACCTGTGAGCGTAAGCAAAAGATGTTTTTCCTAATCCCTGTTGATTTTAGATTGGCCAGATATAACACGACATTTTGCTTTCTTTGGACTGTTAAGTAGTTTCTGATTTGAAAGGCAGGGTGCCAGGCTGTGTGTCTGTGGTGTTTTCACAAGTTAAATCTATCTTGATGTCACATTAATAGCATTTAACTTCATTTTGCTTCCAGACGAGGTGACGCGGAGGCGCAAGGGAAGCAGATCAGAAGCGTTCGGAATGCAGATGAGGCAGCGCAAAGGAACTCTTGCTGTCAACTTCGTAAGTTTGATGCCTTTCCTCTGATTTCTGACAGAAAGGACTTGCTTGATTTACTAAGATTTTTCTTCTTCCTCTAAAAGAACCCCCACCCCTCCAAACAGATGAATGAATGCATGCTGCAGCAGATGATACTGTTATGGGAAGAAAGAACAGTATTTTGGAAAAATAAACTGTGCTCAAGGCTTTTGTTTTCATCTTTTGGACAGGAAGGCTGTTGCAGTGTGAAGCTTTTTGCTGATCATACTTGCTACATGCTTGAATGCCTTCAATAGTTCAATTTTTGTTAGAGCTCCCCTTAGTAGAACAAGTATAATACTGCTTCTTTTCCTTAGAAGAGACTCTGAGGTGCTCCACTACTTCAGGAGTTTGTTTTTAGCATTTCCACATCTTGTGTCTTTTCTGTTTTGACTTTGAATAGGAAAAATAAAACATTTAGTTCTCTGATGTTTGTCCATGGAAAAGCAATGTACAGTTGTTCTTAATGCCTTTCACAGAATGTGACTTCCTACTTTTAAAGTGTCATAATTTAACGTGTGTATGCAGCCGTGAATGGAGAGCTGTGCTCTTATTGTCTGAAGAATTAGACTCTTCACATAGAGTTCAGCTGTTCCTTTTTTTTTATTCTTAGCCTGAGAACACTTACAAAAGCTTAAATTTCAACCATGGAAAGCCAAGACAACCTGAAGACTCTAGTAATCCCATTTTTATATGGGGCAGAAAAAGTGGGAGAATTTGGATATTTAAAAACCAGATCACTGTGCCATTGCAGATCAGTTAGGATTTGTGTGACTTGAATTTTTTCAATTGTGCTACTACTTCTGAATATATGATTTTCCTAGGCCATGTAAATTTGATAATTTTAACTATGCTTTAATTTTAAAATATTTTGTGTTGTCTCCTGGGTTTTTTTTTATGGAGCACTATTATTTACTTTTTTCATTTAACCTGCATTTATAAGAGAAAACAAAAATACTCTAACAACAGAACTGTTGTTTTGAAATTATATTGCTGTAATGATAATATTTTGAAATTTTGTGACTTAGTACTATTTGGTTCCACACTTTTTTTTTAATACTTGGATAAGGAAAGCAGTCCTAAATGCACTGGTGATGTATTTACCTCATGTAACACTGGGCTGAAAAATACTTTGGTGCAGTTTTGTGCATATTTCTCCATCATTTATTTATGTGTTTTTTAAAGTGCTAATTATGAAATTGATTTCATTTGGTGAATTGTTGCAGTAAGGTGTAAAAATCATAAAGAAAGGCTTCATAAAGGCTTTCCTGGAATCAGTGTCTGGCCTTGTCAGAGCTAGCATTTTGCAAGTTCCCATGTGAAAGCAATCCTGTTGTGAGCAATTTGTTAACATAATAATCTATTCCTGGGTAAAAAAAATAACCTCCACCTGCATAAACTGGTTTTGCACCGTTAGAAAAATGAAAATTATCTTTCACAAACAACTGTTCCTGCACATAGACACCAAGACTTTGAGTGACCAATCAATACAGAATAACAACTTGTTACTAACCAATGGAAGTAATTGAGAAGAAAACTACTAACCAATTGAGTCCCACACGAGGTCTGTAAAGGTGTATAAAAAGGAGTTATGTGGATAAAGAATAAGCTTTTTCCACCATGAGGAAAATGGAGTCCTGTGTGATTTACTCCCGTAGTGAATTACTAACTGGGAGATAAAATACACCTTTTTATCTCCTTCTCTCCCCCTAATGCATATAATTATATATCATCATAGTGTTACACTGTTTTATTACATGGCTAGCAGGATTTTTTGTGGTTATTGCATAATCACAGGTCTGCTTGTTGTGAATATCTATTTCAATGCAGTTTTTGTAGTTGCCACATCATCACTTATGCTAACAGAGGTTGCATATGTTAATAGGAATTTAGAGAGAAGAAGGTATTACTAGTGAGAGGTAGCTAGTGAGGACCACAGAAAACTTAGGATTGCCATTTTCATACACTACTAAGTTTTGGGAAGAGAATGTGAAAGTGCTTGCTGAGATACCCTCCCTCCCTTCCATGTAGTTGCAGCAAAAGCAGCTGGTTTGGTGCTTTGGACAGACATAATGTTCCATGAGGCTGAATGTGTGGGGTTTTTTTAATAGGGGAAAATGATATGCCTCTGAGTAGAGCTGCATTATTTTTTAAAATAGTTTCTTAAGAAACCTGAGCAGTCTCCTGAAGAAGTATATTACTGCATAGCTAGGAGGTTGCATGCTTAACTAGGCCACTGTAACTCGAGATGGGTTTCTCATTAACTATTTAATCCACCTGAGCCTAATCAGCTGAAGTGCACATGTTTTTGTGACATCTTGATTAAATTAACAGACCCCACCTCTTCTGGTGTTACTGTGAGCTGTGTGAACGAAATACACACAGACAGCTGAAGTGCACATGTTTTTGTGACATCTTGATTAAATTAACAGACCCCACCAAAAGCAGCCCCACCTCTTCTGGTGTTATTTTGAGCTGTGTGAACGAAATACACACAGCCTGAATTGGCAGGGGCTGGTGGAAGTAGTAGCAGAATTTGGAGTAGGTGTCATTCATGAAGTTCATGCTGTTAGTAAAAGTTTATACAAAAGGTAATTTTTTAGCAAAGATAATGTAATACCCAGGTTTTTTAAATTTATATTGTTGCACCCCTTCAGAATTATGTTAAATATCTATTAATTAAAGTTCTTTGCGAACTCTACAGGAAGCTAGAGCAAAGAAAATTTGAAATATTTTCATACGGTTTTCTTTCTGACCCCAGAGAATGTCTCCCAGTCAGTGTTGTTCTTGTTGAGAGACTATCTTGTACAACTTCCAAAAACTGTTTGCTGTTGTATTGGGATTAATACTTCTCTCACAATTCAGAGTTTTTATTCTTTGCTTTGGAAAAAAAATGAGAAAGAAGCTGGTACTTCTACTTGTGGTTTCCTTTGCTTCCTTGTGAATTTCTAGATTGAAATCTGTCGGTTTGTGGATTTGATGATCTCTTTTTCATTACAAAGATACCACTGTACTGTTGCAAGTGATGATGTATATATTTCTGAAATACCTTTTGGAGATTTTCCTTAGCCATGCAGTCTTTGTAGAGATTTAGTTTAAATTGTTTTCCATTATAAGAAGGCTGAAGAGAGGGAGTTGTAAAAACTGTAACTTTTGCCTTAGAATAATATGAGTGAGATGCTGCTTGAGTTAGATAGCAGAAGACAGTCCAACTGAACTGGATAGTTATTTTACAGCACCCAAAGTCCTCCTGCTCCCATGTAGTGCTGCTTTGGGAGTTAAACAGAAGCTGTCCCTATCAATACTTCTCAAAATCCAGGGTTGATGCTCATATATTGGGCTTCAGGATATCATCCTTTTTTCCTTAGTTTAAGTAAGGCAAGCTCTGGATGAGAAATTTCTTGTAACTTTTTTTTTTCCCTCCACAGGTTGATCTCTATGTTTGCTTATTTTGTGGTAGAGGAAATAACGAGGACAAACTGCTACTGTGTGATGGATGTGATGACAGCTATCACACCTTCTGCTTGATTCCTCCTCTTCCTGATGTACCCAAGGGTGACTGGCGGTGTCCAAAGTGCGTTGCTGAGGTACAGTTCAAGAGCTACTGAAGCTTTGTATGTGTACTTGTGTACCTGGAAAGATCAGAAGAAGAGCAGTTCAGCAATCCATCTGTGTAGAATGCATAGTTTGTTTTGGAATATTGTCAAGATGAGCCTTGAATTCTGGTTGATGAGCCATAAGGAGGGGGAAACATTCCTTCTAGAGCTTGGGCATAACCTTGGTTTTTGATATGGCTATGTGACAGGTAAAAAATTTGACCGTGGTATATTAAAAGCTGAAACTCAATTTGATAATCTGGAAGCGTGAAATTAGGGGTGAGAACTAGGCTTATAATGGATGTTTCCACATAATGATGACACAATTTGTAAACTATGAAGTAAATAAAGTACGAAATTTAGGCATAACAGGGAGCTTTGATTATTGGAATGACATTATGGCATTGTTCAGAATGGCCTGTAGCAGAAAGTGAAAAAACTAATTTAAAGTTCTGTTGTGGCTATTTTAGATTTGGTTTAGTCTAAAAAAGGAACTGCTCAGGCTCTGAAAGTGGAAGCTAGTTGAATTTCATTACTCAAAAAAGAAGAACTGCCCAGTTCTAAGAGATTGATCAACAGACAGCAGACATCACTTGATTGGTTTGGTATTTGTCTTAAGGAAACAGATTTTGAACTGCCCAGTTCTAAGAGATTGATCAACAGACAGCAAACATCACTTGATTGGTTTGGTGTTTGTCTTAAGGAAACAGATTTTGCAAGCTGAGAAAGGTGGTAGATGTAGGATTCAGAGGAAGAAGCTTACTGTTTGTAACTCTGTAATTACAAGACTGGCTTTCACTCCTGAGGCTGTGTTGTTTCCAAAAGGAGCAGTTGTGCACACACATTTCTAGGCCCACTTCCCCCTGTGCCCTTCCAGTGCTGGCTGCTGCTGGTTCCTTATGGTGATGTTTGAGAGTTGTGCAGCCACAGGAGCTGCATCAGCTCACTGCTTTAACCCTTCACTGAGAGATGAGGTGTTCACATGAACTCAGGCAAATGCTGCTTAAAGAAAGGTGGAAATTCATAGCTACATGCAAGGGAAGAGATGAAACATCCCTTTGGGCTGCTGCTCAGAGAGTGGATTAACCTACTTCTTTATTTTCTCTTAAGATGGAGCAATAAACAAGAATTAGGAAACTGCAGCAATTTAATACGGAGTTAATTTAGTAGTAAATAGAGTGGCAGCAACAGTTCAGGAATGTGGAAACTCCAGAAATTTCATTATTGCTAGTTAAAACAGGAATAGATGTTACCCAAGGAAAAAAATGCAGGCAGGGACAAACCCAGCAAAGAGAAGGTGCCAAGTAATTTTTTACTAGCAAATGATACAGAAAATATTTGAAAAGTTTTGGATAGGCATTGGAAGTAAGAGGTAGGAGAAAACAGATTGCTGTAATGTGTACTGGAAAGTAAACAAGTAACAGCAAAAAGATGTTTGAAGTATTCACTAGTGCTTTTTGCCTCAGTTTTTACTTTAGATGTTAATTGTGTACAGATCCTTAATGTAATTTTACAGCAGGGTACTGGAACAGGAGCTGGGAAGAATAGTGTAAGGGCTCTTTGTATGTATTTAGGTCAACATTGTTTGACAGTGTTCACAGATGTTGTAGATTCTCTGTCACAGGCTCAGTTTAAGAACCACTTTGGTACATGTTGGGAATAGTCTAAGGACAGTTCCTCTTGAAAAAAACCACAAACTACTGATGAATTCCTTTCCAGTCCTGTTTCTGTGACTGAAAAACTGACTATTAGATAGTTTTACATGATCTTTGTGTTCCAATATGGCTTGTATATATAAACATGGTGTCAGTTCCAAAGGAGCTGAGAAGGACACATTAAAAATGAGTGGGGAGAGGAGCTGAAATGTGCACCAGTGTTTTTCATTTTCAGGATGAATGGGGATAGAACAGGGAAGGACTTGGAGATTTTTTGTCAGATGGGCCATGTCTGTTGTTGCCTGTTCCAATTTCCTTTTTCCTCTTCCCTATTATATATTTTCACGGTGTCAAATCTGTTGATGATTTGCTGACTTGATAAGACTGAACCCTTGGGGGGTTTGTTCCTGTGCAGTTATTCTGCAGGTGCTTGAATCCAGTGTGTGTCTAAGAAATGTCCTGTGGCTGTCTAAGCATCTTGTGCACAGTCTTGCTTTGTGGCTGGCAGCAGTAGCTGATGAAATGTAGCTTTGGACAGGAAAGCAGAAGCGTGGAGCCCTGGGGTTACAGGGTTAGATTAGCTTCTGTGCCGTTAATTGTGGTCTGTTTCCGTTGTGGTGTGACTGCCTCTGCTGGAAAAGTCTCAAACCTGGCAGCTTATTGTGCTGGGTAAGGACTCAGATGGACACTAGGGCTTCTTGCTAAAAATGTAACTGTGTCAGAGTCTGCTGCAGGGAACAATATTTCTGTGTTCTGTCTCCTAGGAATGCAACAAACCCCGAGAGGCCTTTGGATTTGAACAAGCTGTCAGGGAATATACTCTCCAGAGCTTTGGTGAAATGGCTGATAACTTCAAGTCTGATTATTTCAACATGCCGGTCCATGTGAGTTTCAGCTTTTGTTGGGATTCCTTGTAAGGGAAAAAGAGAAGAGGTTTCAGCTGGTCTTGGATTTTTGCTAAGACATCTTAGCCTTGTTTAAAGAGGCACCATAAGCTTCAAACATGTAAACAAATTATTTAGCTTACTGGCATCTGGTCTCATTTCAACTTCATTTCACTCTTTCCCTGCAATGGGCAGACAGCTTTATTGCTTGTTAGTTTACTCTACTGGGCACACTCTAATGTTCTTGCCTTTTTGATAAACTGGGCTAAGTATCTTGCTCATTTGGTATAGGGGCCCTTTTCCTGCCCTCCCTATGCCTTTTGTCTTGGTTTAATTTGTCCAGAGGATAAATCTTTGTTTTCTTTGTCTTACAGTATTTTCCTTGTAGACAAGTCAGTAGACTGAATCTGTCTGATAATCACAGTGGTTTTGGGTTTTTTGGTTTTTTTGTTATGCATCAAAGCAGCATTTTTCAAACTAGAATTTCTGCTTTGGCACAGTTCCACTGTCCTGTGGACTGCATGCAGCACCAAGGTCTTCCTCCTCTCATGGTTCTTTGGTAATTTATGGACGTTCTTGCTAAAGTCTCTACCTTTTAAGGACTTCAATTTACAAGACAACTTTGGGACAGGGAACAAAGCTTATTTTAAGAATAAGCTTTGTAAATGAATACATGTAAGAGTAGTGATCAGTTATATGAAGATCAAACTCCTGAACACAGTTTTATATGTCAATTTCCTTACTGTTGTTCAGAAATCCTGGTCATTATTCTTTGAAATAGTTTGGAATTTGCATGCTGATTTTTTCTCTTTGCTGCTTGATTTCTGCTGCCTGTCTCCTCTTCCCCCTGTGTTTTGCTGTATTTCTGGTGATTCCATCTTTTGTTTATTCCTTCTCTCTGAAGCATTCCAGCCACTATGGAGGAATACAGACCAAAACTATGACTTGGAAGCGATGGAGGGGAGAGGGGGAGTGACCTTGGTGTATGAAAATTCATGGGGAGTTAATAGCGATTTATTGCTTGAATGATCATTTTTGTTATCTGCACATACCATAACCTCTCGTCTGCTTTCAGATGGTTCCCACTGAGCTGGTAGAAAAGGAATTCTGGCGATTAGTGAGCAGCATAGAAGAAGATGTTATTGTGGAATATGGGGCCGATATCTCATCCAAGGACTTTGGGAGTGGCTTCCCAGTGAAGGATGGCCGACGAAAGCTGATGCCAGAGGAGGAGGTGAGGAACAGGATGTGCAAACTGACCCCATTCTTTGCTCTGTGGAGGACTTCACATTAAGACTTTAGGGCAGAAATTAAGAAATTGTTTCAGGGTTTTGTACATATTTAACATTCCTTTTGAACAGGGCATGAATCCGATATTTGAGGTTGTTACAGATCTGGTTGCTGATAACCAAGGTCTGCTTCATGATTTAAGTCACACTGTTTTCTGTCACTTAATCTTAGCAGGCAAAGATGTGCAAGTTGTTGCAGTTTGTCTGAGTATGAGGAGACTCTTTAATAATATTTTTTTCTTTCTTGTTTCAAACCTTTTCATTTTAGAGTTAGTTACAGAAACATAATTCTGTCCTCCTTAGGATGTTCTTAATGGGTGAAACAAACTAATTGGATTTACCTTGTTTCTCTGTGTACTGTAATAATATAGATACAGCATTCAATTATAAAAAATTCAATAAAGATCATCTGGTACTATTTTCCCTCAGACCGTACTGTAGCAAAGCAATTTTCTTGCTGCTTGTACACTGAAATTCAGGCATAGTAAAGGTGTGGTTTCCTGATTATGCAGCCCCAAATCAATTTCTGCTGCTTACTGGAAGATGTAATCCTGTTTGCTATCATCTTCCACCTCTTCCTGCACCTTTCTGTGTGTACCTTTGTTGGCTGTGCTGTGATTGTGTAGCTGATTAGTGAGTCAGCACTGATACTTCTATGTGTATGAAGGTAGTCACTTGAAAAATTTCTTAACCAGATCACTTAAGTCTTCTGACTCACTGCAATGTCTTTGCAGTGTCAGAGCAGAGGAAACAGCAGCAATGTTTGGCTGAGCTGAGGCTCTGACCAGTCTTTTCAGCAGCTATGGGATATACCTAAAATCCCAATCAATCTTGTGCTTACAGCTTTTGTAAAAGTGGAAAGTAGATTAATGCTAAAAGCACAGTAGTGGGCTTTTAAGGCTGTCTGGGTTATAGTTTTTTGAACAAATTGTGTGTATTTGAAAGTAAAGGTGAGAGTGATCAACAGGTGATGCTGTCCTTTCAAAAATGAGTGTGTAGGAATGTCTTTCCATGAGAAAACTTTCTAAAGTAATCCATACAGTAGATCAACATGAAGTGCAGCATGGTAAAATGGGTGTTCAAAAAAAGCTGAAATAGTGACATGAGATTCACTGTGTTGTGTACAATTTTAAGTTGTCCTGTATTACTGAAGACTTCTATCTTTAGTTCTTGTCCTGGTATTGCTGGTATTTTGTTCCACCAGAAAAGCATCTCTTGTGATGGAGAAGAAACGAAAACTTAAGTGTATAAGCCTTGATCCAAAGAAGATGGGCTATGTTGAAATACTAGGACTGTTACTAAAATCTTAGTGTGATTATTTGATGACTACGGTTTTTAAGGAATTATTTCTGGGTTTGATGTTTCATTGTTGCAGGAAATATCCCATTATCTACTATAGAAATGGATAGGCTGATGTTTTCATTTGTACTTTCCTTTTCTGGACTTGGTGTCCTTAATATTCTTCTGATTTGTTCAAATTTTCTTCTTTTGGCAGGATTATGCTCTCTCTGGTTGGAACTTGAACAACATGCCCATTCTGGAGCAGTCAGTCCTTGCTCATATCAATGCAGACATCTCTGGCATGAAGGTGCCCTGGCTGTATGTGGGGATGTGCTTCTCCTCCTTCTGCTGGCATATTGAAGACCACTGGAGCTATTCAATCAACTACCTGCATTGGTATGGGCTGTCCTCTGTGCATCTGCCTTACACTGCCCTGTTGGCTTTTGGAAGTTTGTAGTTGTACTTCAGAGTGCTTCTGCACACTGAGGACATGTGTAAATGAAAAGATAGATGTGCACAGTGGTGTGTGTTCTTAGCTGTGGCTGATTGAAGCTGAATACAGATGTTTTTTAAAGCATTGTAGTGGGTTCAAGGCAAAGCATTCAATTAAGGCAAACCCAGGACAAGCATATTAGTGCTTCTCATTAACTGATGAAATATTCTTGTGTGCCCAACATTCCAGTGTCACCATAAAATTGTGCTTTACAGGATCCTATCTTTTTTAAGAAAGTTTTTTCATTCAGAACTGAGTTAAGAGTTTACTGGTTCCCTCCTTTATGATTTAAATTTGGGATGTCTGTGTGCTAGAAGTGGAGTCTGCTGTCTCATGGCTTTTGGAGGCATCAGAGTTCACTGTTCAGCAGCAGATCCATGTATACATGGGAATACTCCTTATAAAGAGAAATTTGGAAGTAATTCTGCCATTTGGAACAGTCCTTGAAGTGTTGTGCTGTTCATCTTTTGTGTGAATAGAAGACTAGTGATAGATTAACTACGGGAATTGCCAGTATTCCCAGTTTGTCAGACAGAGTGGAGCAGAGGGGAAGACAGCGGCGGGGAAGGAGCTGTGGGAGAACTTTACAAAGGTTGCTGGACATCTGGGAGAGATGAGCTGATGGCCTAAAAACCACAGCTGTGCATCTTTGAAGAAGCGTGTTTGCTAACCAGCTCCGATGGGCAAGCTCGGGAAGGGCATTATCACTGTTGCTCCCGGCTGAGCTGCTGCTGAGCGGCTCCGCGTGTGCGTCGGGCGGCTCCGCGTGTCCGTCCGGGCGGCTCCGCGTGTCCGTCCGGGCGGCTCCGCGTGTCCGTCCGGGCGGCTCCGCGTGTCCGTCCGGCCGGCATTGCCGTGTGCCGCCAGCAGGGGGCACCGCAGCCCGCCGGGAATGCTCCAGCCTCTGGGATAATCCATGGCCGTAGGGCTGTGTAAGCAGACTCCTCCTGCTTGTGCTTACTAAAATGTAGTAAAGCAGGTTTTAAAAATAAATCTCAGCTGTATATGTATTTTAAATAAGTATGTTTAAAAATAAATTCACTCTAGATGCTAGGTCTTGGCAGTTTGTTTTGGTTAAGAAAGGACTGGAATAATGCTTGATTGATTATTTGGTTAGTTTTGGTCCTGTTAATATTTTTATTCCCTCGTACTTGACTAATCCAGGGCATTTTTCACCTTAATGATCCAGTGGATCCCAGGTTTTTAGTAATTAGTTAGGAGTACTAGAGAGATGGCATGTGTTTTACTCCTCTGGCTGGTATACTGTTCTGTTGGTTTTAGGAATAAGACTACTCCCAGCCTAATTGAATGGAGGAATACCATGATCTTTTTTAGACTGTAGGTGTGACAGCCAACGTTTTGTTTATTAAACCTAATTCCTTCTTTCTGAAGGAAAATAATTTCCCATTTTACCCCTTTGGGGAGCATGGTAAGTGACAATTACCTTCCATGTTAAGCTTGTCAAGGCAAATCTACTGCCAAGTATGTTGAGAATTGTGTTGGAGTGTAACTGATTTTTCAGATTAGAGTAATACATCCTGAAGAAGATGCATGTTGATTAAAGGCATTTTTTTAATCTAGGTGTAAAATGGCTCATGAGGACAGTGCTGCTGGCTGTGAGGGGTGCTTTACAGCTGGGTGGCACCATCAGTTCCCTCTCCCTTGGGTTCATTCCTGTGCTTGTGTTTCGGTAGGGGAGAGCCGAAGACGTGGTATGGTGTGCCCTCTCATGCAGCAGAGCAGCTGGAAGATGTGATGAAGGAATTGGCTCCTGAGCTCTTTGAATCCCAGCCTGATCTCCTGCATCAGCTGGTCACTATTATGAACCCCAATGTGCTGATGGAACATGGTGTACCAGTGAGTAGCACGCAAGCATTTTTTACATAAGTACTCCTATGTGCTCTCTTTTTTTCATTCTCTGCCAGATTTGTATAACAATGGTTTGGCATAACTCTGAAGAATTTTTATGGTAGGCATTTGCATATTCATTACTTATGGGGTGTTTTTTAAAGCTGTTTTCTAGACTCTTCCCTAGGCTAACCAGGAAATTTAAACTTTCTTGTAGTAGAAGTGAGTGTGCCAAGCTTCCTACATAAAATACCTTCCAGAACAATCATATGCTGTGTATTACAGTTAATTTTTAATAAAAAAATCCCCTCCCTTGTGTAACAGCAAGTTTGCCTGAAATGCCTTTAAAAGCTCTTGACAGTAAAATACTTGTCTTACTTTCAGTAGAAATCTCAGCATTACAAAATGTTTTCTGACCAAACACAATTGACTGCAGACCTCTAAGCAGCAGTCACTATCATTTGCTTTTGTCTTAGGATAAATTGCTTCCCTGGCAAATACCCCAACAAAGCAAACCATAAACTTTTTTCCAGAAGCTTTTGGACTTTGTGGTACAATGGATTAAATGATGATAGAGAAACATCCCTTTTGGGATTCATAAAGACAGTTTTCAACTGTTGGTTTATATGTTCAGCTCTTTGTGAAAAAGGCTGTAAATTGAGTATTCATGCTCAGAAGGCAAAAACAATCCTTACCACTATTGGGGTAGCTGTGTTGCCTGTGGTGATCTGTGGGTACAGAAACTGGTATTCAAACATCTTGTATTTTTGTGTCTTAAGCTGTTGCATGTTATATATTTTTTCTTTCCTTTATCCTCCCTTTTTTAGGTTTTCAGGACAAATCAGTGTGCTGGCGAGTTTGTTGTGACCTTTCCTCGTGCCTATCACTCTGGATTTAACCAGGGATATAACTTTGCTGAAGCTGTGAACTTCTGCACTGCTGACTGGGTCTGTTCTTTTGTGTATATTTGCTGTGTGACTTCTGCAGGTGGTGTGTTAGTAACTTAACTACCTGAACACTCTTTTCAGTGAAATAGTGTATTTTATGTTTATAGTTCTTGGGACAGCAGTTAGAAACTGAGGGAAGTTTCATTATACAAAGTAATTGTAATTTTAGGCAACTTCAAACTGAAACTTTGGGCACATGTTCTTCCTTTTTAATTACTGGTTAACCAAAAAGTGGGATCTCACAGTACCTTTAGCGGTGATGCCACTTTCTGAATTTGATACAGGTCTGTGTCCTGTCTTGAAGTACTGTTGTCATTTGCATGTTGGAGATAAGCTTATAACAATTTTTGTTTCTCCTTTGTGCCAGCTCATTGTGCCTTTTAATCGTGTTAGTGCTGTTCTGATAGCTGTGCCACATCAGTGCATAGCTCATGTGGATTGTTCAGGAAATTGTCAAAGGAGTGTTCTGTTACTATCCAGGGTTTACAGTTGAAATTATGATCTCATCTCTAGTTTATCTGTCTCTAGCTTTGTTTCTAAACTACCAATGGAAATTATAGCCCTTTTTCAGAGACTTTTATTCTTTTATCAGAAAATTTGCCTGCAGGACTGGCAGTGTGTCAGGGCTCTTATTTTTTTCCTCCAGCACTCATGATAGAATATGAGTGTAACTTCTGTGAAAATCTGCTTAACTTGCACCAGCCATGTGAAATTTCCTTTGCTTATGTAAAATGTAACCAGAAATATCTGCAGCAAAATAATTTAGCATCTTTTTGCTTTAAAAGGCACAAAATGAGTGATACCAGATTTGGTTAACTGTAGGAATCTTCAGGTTAAATGGCTATGTCCAAGCACAGTCATATCCAGGGGGGAATGTATTCACCTTAGTGTAGATCAGATGACTTCTCCTTGGCAGTTTCTTGCCACTGGAAGTAAAAAGAGCTTAGGACAAGTATAAACTTTTGTCTCTACGTTAGGTGCATAAGGTTATGGGAGATGCCCCTCCCTAGCATTGATGCCCTCTGTGTCCTCATCTGTGACATGATTTTAAGGTTGTTAGAATCTTATTGAATACAGGGCAACCCCAATGTCTGGGAATGATTGGCATCTGACTCCATTGATTCAGAATGCTGAACAATGGCTTTATTAAACTATATTATGGTACATTGTACTATATTATATTAAAGAATACTAAAAGGATACTATGCTATACTATACAAAGATACATACTAAAGAAAAACCCATGGCTGTCTTGAGACAGCCAGGACACAGCTTTGACCCAATAGGCCCATTAATATAAACAGCCATCACCAGAATCCAATTAAGAACTCCCTTCAGGTAAACAATCTTCCTAACACATTCCACATGTGCAAAAACAACAGGAGCAGCAAGTAGAGATAAGAATTGTTTTCTCTTCTTCTCTCTGTGCTTCTCCAGGAAAAAACCTGAGAGAGAATTTTCTCTCTCTCTGTTCAGAGAATGTGAATGCCATAGAATTTTCTCTGTCCCATCAAAGAGGGACTTAGTCTGTCTTTTCCCAGTTTTTGTCAAAGGGAGGAAAGTGGGAGCTGAGAGATGTTTTTTTTTTTTCCCCTGAACGATGATGATGTGTTTTTTTAGCTGCCCATTGGACGTCAGTGTGTGAGTCACTACCGAAGGCTGGGACGTCACTGTGTTTTCTCCCACGAAGAGCTGATCTTCAAGATGGCTGCAGATCCAGAGTGCCTGGATGTGGGGCTGGCTGCCATGGTCTGCAAGGAGATGACTCTACTGATAGAGGAAGAGACACGGCTGAGGGAGTCTGTTGTACAGATGGTGAGTAATAAATGCTTGCAAAAGAACTTTCTGCTTCCCTCTCCCCCTGCTTGCATTAGAATTTTTGAGCAAGTGGCTAATTCTTCTTGTCAGGGAGTGTTGATGTCTGAAGAAGAGGTGTTTGAGCTGGTTCCAGATGATGAACGTCAGTGCACAGCTTGCAGAACCACGTGCTTCCTGTCAGCTCTTACGTGTTCCTGTAATCCTGAGCGCCTGGTGTGCTTGTACCATCCTTCTGATTTATGTCCCTGTCCCATGCAGAAGAAGTGTCTAAGGTACACTGGATTATTTTGTCCCCACTTTTCTTCCCTGTCTAACACTTTGCTGTAGCCCAGTGGCCAAATACATTTGGCCACACTGTTTTTCTCCTTCATTTAAGGAGTATTTTTATCCTCTTTGTTTCTTGGTTCCTAGGTGAACAGGTGTTGTACATGTACTGTTTTTCTGGCCTTGCTGTAGCTGGAAAAACTCATTATTAATATCCTGACTTTGATGTGGTCATCAATACTTTTCCTGTCTTTTTTTTCCATACCTTCAGGTACCGCTATCCACTAGAAGACCTTCCTTCTTTGTTGTATGGAGTGAAGGTTAGAGCACAGTCTTACGACACTTGGGTCAGTAGAGTTACAGAGGCTCTGTCTGCCAATCTCAACCACAAGAAAGGTCAGACTTCTGTCATTCTTAATAGGATGTCCTGAAACTCCTACATGTGTTCTGTCCTCTCATTAGCATTGTGCATTTCAAATTGAATTATGCTGTTGGAACCTTGGTTGAAGGCCATTGAAGCCATGTAAAATTTCTCTCTTTTTTGCATGCAAATAATTTATGTGCTCTTGTTACAGATGTGATTGAGCTGAGAGTAATGTTGGAGGACGCTGAAGACAGGAAATACCCGGAGAACGATCTTTTCCGCAGGCTCCGAGACGCTGTGAAGGAAGCAGAGACCTGTGCTTCAGTAGCACAGCTGCTTCTGAGCAAAAAGCAAAAACACAGGTGAGACAGGCAGTTTTTCAGTACTTTCCATCTGCTTCTTTCTTACTTGATTGGACTTGGAAGAGTTAAAAACCCGGAGGTCTTACTGTGTGCAAGCTTCTTTCAGTGCTTCCTTTCCCTTCGACTCACTGAGAGATAGGGAGGGGTGGAGGCAGATACAGTGGCACAAAGGGCCCAAAGGTGGCCTTAGCTGGAATGTTATAAGCATTCTGCTTTCAGCTGACTTACGTACTGAAACGTGAAATCCTTTGGAGAAGTTGTGTTTCATTGCTGATGAAGTATTTTGCTTGTAGGGAGAGACAGCTGGAGGTAAAAATGCAATGAAAATAAGTTTTGACTTTGGGTGTTTGTGACAAAAATCCTTTTGGATTTTTTGTGCTGGGGGAGCACAGTAGTATGGAGGGCAAAAGCAGTCCATGGTTTGAGCCATTTTGGGAAGGACCATGGGAGAGGCAGTGATGTGTGGCTGAAAGGTAGTGGCTTGCCTCAGTGACTTGGGGCAGTGGAACTCCCTTGGTTCTCTGTGCTGCCTGCCGTGCCTGTCGCTGCCTCAGCATTACTCCTGGCCCTGCCTCAGCAGTCTGATGGATGTGTTCTGTGTTCTGCTCTCATGAGCTTCCAGGAGCATGTTCTTCCTTCTATCCTGTATGTTTTGTGCACTGAATAATAAGTCAATAGAAAATAGCTCAGTGAGGTGACTGTAATTCTTGCAGCAGCAGTTGTACAGTAAATTTATGTAGCTTGTAGTTCCTCTGTTGAGGATAAGATTTGGTTTTGTAGTTGATTGTATTTTTTGCCTGTGTGGTTTCTGTGTATTACTGAAGACATTTTGAGAGAGTAAAAAGTAAATACCTTGTTAATTATAATGCACAGCTTTGCTACACAGAACATCATGCATATATCATAATTGCTTGAATTTGAACACTAAAATGTTAGTTGCACCACAGATCCAAGTGTAACAATCTGTTCCAACTGGAAAACTGTTACACAATAGAGAAGCATTTTTTCTGTATTTGGAGGTTAAAGAAGGCTCTCCTGACTGTTTTTTGTTGCTTGTAGAACCCCACTGCCACAGAGGTATTACTCACTTAGAACTCTGATCCAGGTGAGGGACACAGCATGACAGGGGTTGCATTGCTCAGTTCTGGTCAAGTATAATTATTTTGGTAGCTCCCAGGTGTTCCTGGTCTGGTGCTGCTTCCTCCTCTTCCTCCTGCTGTTGGAGTATGACAGCCCTCTCTCAACAGTTGCTCAGATATATATATAGATATATCTATATATATATATAATTATATATATGTAAGAAGAAATAACTCTTCAGTTAGTTATTTGGTGGGTTTCCAGAGCTACCCCAAGAAAGACAGGGAGTAGAAGGATTTTAATACTTTCAGTGTCATGTCTTATGTAAAGATAAAAGAATTTTGAGGCCACAAAAGGCTTATATATACATTTGAGGGCTGTTGTATGGTAACTAAAAATATTTTACAAAATTGAGGTTTGAGGAAGATACTGAAACTTCTTTGAACAGTGCTAGGCAGTGTAATTATAAAGGTCACATTCAGCTGCTTCTGTAACATTTATGTTCATATTTAACACCTGGAGAAGGATCACTTTTACAAAAAGGATAAGGTTATTAAAAAAGCAAATTAAAAACAAGTGCTCAAACAGAGCAATTTGGCAGGGGTTAATGCAGCAATAAACTCATGGTCAAATGCAGCAGAAGAAAATCTGTGCCTTATCCATCCCTTTTTGAATAAACCCCAAAAATGGATAATATGTAGCTGTGAAGTTCTGTCCATTATTCTAGTCCTAGATCTTTACCTTCTCCTGGATGTTGTGAGTGAGGGATAATTGCACCTTTTTGTGCAGCATCTTATGCTGTGACAGTGGTTGGACTAAGGCTAGAATGCCAGTGTGACACTGCTGAGTGTCCACTCCCTCAGTTTTGTCCCTTGGAGCCCTCTACACCATTGCCCTCACTCAGGGATTTTGGGGGCACAGCAGGTCTGCTGCAGCCACTGCTCCTCATCACTGTCTGCTGGAGCAAATCAAAGCCTGCAGGATTCTTTATTCCCCTCTGAGGTTTAGCTGGTGTGGAATTATATTTGGTCATTAATCTAAATTTTACATTTACAACATTATGTAAGTCCATAGCATAAGATAGAATTTCTTTACTATTTCTGTGGTATTCAAATGTAGATTCATTAGCAAGGATCAGCTCTTCAGTATTTGAAATCTGTTGTACTTGGGAAGTTGTGCCTGCCAGTGATCTGTACACCAAGTATTTAATTTATGCAGTGTGTCACTTTTAAGTCTTTTACTCTATTCAGTGGGCTTGTTACACTTACTTCAAGTGATTTATAATGGAAACATCTTTGCAGAGCCTGTCCCACTGAATATCAGTCCTCTGTTGCAAGGTCAGTTCCAGCAGTTCTCTGGCTACAAGAAAGAAAGCACTAGATCCTAAGACTTGTGTTCAGGGCTTGTTGCTGTTACATATCTCAGACTTCTTGTCAGTGCCTGGCACAGTGCACAACTTCCTGAACTGCCTAAAGCAGACTTTATGGGGCTATATTCTTCTGTTTGTAATAAACTCAGTTTGGAACTCACCTAGACAATTGTACCTCTGAAGGGCAGAGTAAATGATCCTGAAGGGGCTTAGGGGATTGTATTAAATTTTGTTTTCAGGATTTTGGAATTCTTGTTGAGTTCAAGTTACATTTTTCTTTGAGTTCTTAGGCGATTAAATGCTTTTGGTAACATCTCAGTAATCCTGATAATTTCTATCACTGTGAATAAATCCAAGGATCATCATCTTATCTCTCACCTAATACTTAATTGTGCCCATTTGTACAGCAGAGTGAGCCAAGACAGTGGAAGGACACGGACCAAGCTGACTATGGAGGAGCTTAAAGCATTTGTGCAGCAGCTGTTCAGCTTGCCATGTGTTATCAGCCAGGCCCGACAAGTAAAGGTAAGATTGCATCTGCTCCTTGATAATGGTGTGCCTTTTACTTTGCTCTGATTTTGTGGTAGTATGTTTTTTAAACAGACAATTTTGCCTGGTGTAGAGGATGAAAAGCTTCTGGTGTAAAATATATGTGCACTTTTTCCAGGTGCCTGGTACAACAGGCATTGTCAGATGTGGTGGTGCAGCTAAACAAATATGGAAGATCCTCTTCCCCTGTCACTGTCCAGACAGCCCAGTTCTAAATCTCTGAATCAGTTACTCTTATTCCATTATCATTAATGCTTTCTGCAGAGCTTAAGTTTCTGGCTAAATCCTACCCTTTATATGTTTTTGTAGAAACCTCTGAGGGTTACACTGGTGTGCTTTTTCAGGGCAGCAGGAAAGCAGTGCCACATTGTTAGTTATTCCATAAATCTCAGCCTTGCTTTCCAGGCTACAGCCTTCTTAATCTGTATGCATGGCCTGCATTTCTTGCCCTTCATATATATCTTTACACCTGTCTCTGAATGAATCTAGACTAATAAGTAATCCAGATCATACTGATTCCCCTGGCTGCTATTACCATTTATCATTCTGGCACTCTGCATCATAGCAAGTGTTTTCAGCAGCAGTCTTAATTTGTTTCTCTGTCACTGGTGATGGAATACTTAACAGCATTTCACCTACTAACCAACTTGTAGAAAACTCCTTGAGCAACATCCTTAATAAAGATGCCTAGAGAAATGCTTCCTGAGATGTGTGTTAATCACTTATTAACCTGCATGCTCTGCTTGTACAGTTTTCCATGTGTTGTATAGTACTAGACAGAGGGCCTGAAATCCTGTACATTACCATAGGTGCTGCTAGTGCTACATAGCCAAACATACAGTTTAAAACTAAGTTAGTTTTTGTTTAGAAGGTCCCTTTTCCATAAGTGTTTGTTAGTGTTTATGTCCTTCATTCACTAATTTTATATAAACTTTTCCATGATAGTTCAGTGTTGATAAGAGAGACTTTACATTGGAATTTCTTATTGTTTACGTAATATTGGCAATTTTTTTTCCTGAAAACAATTTCCTTCAGAAAACCTTAGGGCTCTAGTGTGCAGGTTTGCCAGGCTTGTTGACACTGTCTTTGTCCTTTAGAGGTGTTCTCTATTAGATGCCAGCAAACTGGTTAAAGTGGAAAGTGCTTTCTCATCCTCATATGATAGGATGGTTTTACTTCACTTCTTTACACACACATTAGTATGTAATTGCACATATTATTAGTATTAGTAAAAATACTTACTAATATTTATTAATGAAATGTTGTTGTCTATTAGGTAGACATGGAAGATTGCTCTCAGATGGGCTTTTTAAATGTGTTTAAAACTTGCTTCTAATTAAAACATAATTCATAGATGAGAGGGCTGCAGACATATAATTAACTCTTAACAGTTTTAGCTTGTATTTTTGTCTAATGCCTTCTCCCAACTAGTCCATCTTCCCCCACCCCTCAGCATTAGGAAGGAATCTGGTTCTGGTTCAAGTACTCTGCCTATGCACGTGCATGCTCTTGAAGCCTCAGCATAATCACTAGTCAATAAATAAATAATTATCATTTTACTGATTACAAAGTGTAGTCTTTTCATTTCTGAATGAAGTCAGATAATGATCATTTATGTCTAAGCACTCACCAGCTTTTAGCATGGCATTTGAATGCAATTATCCATCATAGTGAATAGCAAAATAATTGTCATGTTGGATGATGAATATTTTCTAACACAAAAGGCATTGTAATTATTGAACTGTTATAATTTACTGTTGCCACTATGAAGCATTCAGAGTATGTTCCCTAAATCAAAATCTTTATAATTTAGATCTTGTTCTTTCTTACAAATGCCTTCTGATTTCCAGACAGTCATGAAAAGCAGCATCAGCCAAAAAAGGCAGTAAGCTAAGGGTTAGGAAATGCAGGTTTGCTCCTCGTTGTGCCGTGGGCTTGCTGTCAGAAATGCCTGTCTTCTAGTAAGAGACTTGGGGGTGAATCCATTGAGTGTGATGGTTGAATGTCCTTGAATGAGTCTCCTGCAGAGATTCTTTCCTGTCTGTTTGCTGTCTTTGATTTTTTTTTTTCATTGCAGTGCCAAAACATGAGGATGAGGACAACTGCAGCACTGCAGTTGGATTTCTGTGAAATTGTCTCCTTTAATAAGAGGGTTTTGCATTTTCATTTCTTTCTTTAGTGCAATAAAGCCCCAATGCTTATAAGTGGTGGTCCAGCTTTAGGGAATATTACTTTCAGACTTCACCATTGTTATTTTCAGGACCTGTGGTATTCATGTTCTCATACATTCCTGGCTTGTTATTTCTCCTCAGCATGTTTTTTTTCTGTTTTGTGTTGCTGTCATTGCTGTAATGCCCCTGACACTATTAAAATGATGACCTGTTTGCAGAAGTCCCTCTTCTCCCCACTATTTTAAAACTAACATTGACTGGGCAGTGCTAAATATTCTGTTTGTTGGGAGCTGTTGTCATTTGCAGTTGTACTATTTTAGGTGCAGAGTTTGATGCAACTAATATGCCTAGGGTATGAAACATTAGGCCATCAAATAAGTTTAGATGTTCTGTTACTTCATTTCTGTCAGACTTGATGGCTTGTGACAGCTAGCTGGCATTGTGTGTGTAAGCTCAGACTGATGATCACATACAGATTCACAGCTGACTGATCCCTCAGTTGCATTTTCTTTTGGATTCTGTGGGTGTTTTTTCCTAATTGATTTGTACTGTGTGTTACTTCAGAATCTGCTCGATGATGTGGAAGAGTTCCATGAGCGTGCTCAGGAAGCTATGATTGATGAGATCCCAGACTCTTCCAAGCTGCAGGAATTGATAGACATGGGCTCTGGCCTTTATGTTGAACTTCCTGAACTGCCAAGGTTGAAGCAAGAACTGCAGCAGGCACGGTGGCTGGATGAGGTGAGGTCCACCCTCTTGGATCCCCAGAGAGTCACCCTGGATGTGATGAAGAAGCTGATTGACTCTGGTGTGGGCTTGGCACCACATCACGCTGTAGAAAAAGCCATGGCTGAGCTGCAGGAGCTGCTCACAGTCTCAGAGAGGTGGGAGGAGAAGGCCAAGGTCTGCCTGCAGGCCAGGTGAGTGTTCCTTTACAAACTGTTCTTAGAGGCCACACACTTTTGTGTTTCTCTTCCTCTTTTGAGATGTGAGGTGAGAAGTTGGGCCCTTGAAGCTGTAGTTGCCTTTTTTTTAACCTCCCAACCATTAGATTGCTCTAGAGTTGGATTTGAGATTGATGAATTGCAGAAGTGTTGATTGCCTATCATGTTGCACTGTGGCAGGAGGCTGAGGCTGTGTGTGTTGCTGCTGCCTTTGCTATTCATCCCTCTCCACAAAGAACTCTTGACTATGCTACCAATAAGAGACAGCTTTCTGGGTGTTTAAGGGTTGTGATGCTGTGCCCTTCTGAGCTTGGTTGTGCCAAGCCCATCACCTTTCTCACCTCCTGTTATTTGGTAGCCAGTAGCATCCTCCAAGCACAGAGCCATGGTGTCCTACCCTGCAGTGTAGTGGTGAAGTTGCATCTCCAGCCTGTCAGATTTATGGCTTTAGATGACTGGCATTTTGAGAGAAGGCTGGAATTGGGTTTTTCTTGCTCTAGACCACGCCAAAGTATGATGGCTCTGGAGGGCATCGTGAATGAGGCAAAGAACATCCCTGCTTACCTGCCCAATGTGCTGGCACTGAAGGAAGCCCTGCAGCGAGCTAGAGACTGGACAGCCAAAGTGGAGGCCATTCAGGTAGGGGTTACAGCAGGGCCTAGAATCTTCTGCTTGCACTCTTATTTGGATGTGTCCTTTATTCCTAGCACCTCTCCTCACAAAGGTGGTCTGAAGAGAAGCCTTGCTATGGCTCTTGAATATGGTCTTACCAGAACTCATGTACTTGATTTTCTTCTTGTGCATTTGTCTCCCCACTGGCTATCCAATTTCTATTTCCCTTCCTTTTATGTATTTCAGAGCAGATACAAAAGCTAGCAAATTCATTTTGATATGGTATTTGGTTTTGGAAATGTTCAGCATGCTGTCACTGAAAATATTTAGCTGCAGTAGAGGGTGCTCTCAGGTTTTCAGTTTTGGATCTGCCTGTGGAAATTTTGGTTTTTTATGGAAATTTTTTTTTTTATTTTCTCCCTAAAACGTTGCAAGATTTAATGGCAATGGTGGCCAGAATTTTCTGAAAGAGATGGATTAGTTCAGTGACCTCCCCTTCTACTGGTCTACCCACATGACTTGGTCCTGAGTTCTGTGATATTTGTGGGTGTTGATAGCTGAACTAGAGCTGCTTATCTTATACCAGGTGTTGTTGGGAGTTGAAATGAGAATCCCAGTAGATTTCACATCAACCCTTATACAGCTCTTGCTGTTAAACAGACAGCATTTAGATAACTGTCTGGAAATGGAATGTTGTCTTACTCCCTAAGCCAGCTGGCCATATCAAAATGACTGTTAAAATAAAAGCTGTATGGGACAATTGTTTAAAATAACAGTAGATTGAAACACTGCCCTCCTTCCCTTTCCCATGGAACTCTGTTTTAGACTCTGACAAAGTAGTGTATGGCTTGAAATTAGTCTGGCAGCTGATATAATGGTGGAATTGTTGGCTTAGAAAAAAACTTGTTTCACCCCAGAATGGGAGCAACTACGCGTACCTGGAGCAGCTGGAGAGCTTGTCTGCCAAGGGCCGCCCCATCCCGGTGCGCCTCGATGCCCTGCCCCAGCTGGAGTCCCAGGTGGCTGCAGCTCGTGCCTGGAGGGAGCGCACAGGAAGGACCTTCCTCAAGAAGAATTCCAGCTACAACCTGCTGCAGGTGAGCAGCCCGTACTTCTCTGTCAGAAGAACACACTTCCCTGTCAGAAATTGGTCATGATGGCCCACAGGTGGCTGGAGGGAAGAGCTGGTTCAGTTACACTGGATTACAGTTCCTTTTCAGAATAGAACATAATTTCAGCTGTTCTTGGATGAAAAAAATGAAAAAGGCTGAAAGTCTGTTTGGTTAGTTCTGTTTTATGTATGGAAAACCTCATCTCTCACTTGTGAAAGAAGAGGGGAAGTAAAAGCATTTTTTTGGTCATTGAAGAAATGTAGGTCTGAAATGGACACAGACCTGTCTCAAATTGAAATATGTTTTCACTTGCCACACTGTTTAAATGCTAAGAAAATAGATTAGATATTTTATAAACTGTTTAACTAGAAGAAAAAAAAATTAGCTACTGTTTATTTCACTTCAGTGAATGTAGTGACTGTCCTTGTTTTAATAAAAATCAATCATGTGTTTGAAGATGTATCATATCTACTTGACAGACTTCCCTTTTGTAAGGAAAAGAGTTCCAGTTCAGCTGCATTCTTGGAGGCTGTATTTTTCATTCTCTTATGTTGGTGTCAATTCTCTGAGGTTTGTCTTCACTTTTAGTGAGATGTCCCAGTCCAGACAGAATCCCCACTCTCTGACTTTCCCTAGTGCCATGTGAAGTGCATTAGTTACATCTTGTGTCTCAAAGGGGGTACTGAGGTTTAATGTTTTCCAATGGGATTTTTCCCTATTGCAACCACATCACACTAATTTTTTTTCACTTTGTGATACATTCTAGATACAGCTTTTTCTCTGTATTCTTCTGCTTAACTAGCTACTTAGTATGTTCTGCTTTTGCATTTTCCTAAATGTAGCAATTTGAGCTTTTCTATATTGAATTTAATTTGCTAGATTTTATATTTAAGTATGCATTCCAACTAGTCATGATGACTAAAGCTTTATTCTTGTCCTTAAAAGTGCTTTTCAGCCTCTCATAATGATATTGAAAGGCTTATAGCGTACTTCTAGGGGTTTTTCAGGCACCAAGTTGCTGATGTAAATATGAAATAATTTTTAATACTTGATTTATAGAGGCCCCTGAAGGGATTGTTGAAGTATGGATGTCTAACTGCATGTAGTGTTTTAGTTAGCTATATGCATATTCTGAATAAATTCTGTAATTTAATCAGAAAACACAGTGGCTTTCAGTTTGACCTGCCATGTCACTGGTTGCTGATTACATTGCTGTTCCCTAACTCTAAGATACTTTTCTCCTTATCTGTTTATTCTCTTTTTCCTATCATTAGTTGACAGGTGTCAGAGGGGTTAGATTGCTGAGTAGTTCTTGTTCCCTGGTGCCACTGTTGTCATTCCTTGATGAGATGTCCTTGGGCCTGACAGGATAAATTTCCTTGGTGGTTGCAGGTTCTGAGCCCGCGGACCGATATCGGTGTTTATGGGAGCAGTAAGAACAGGCGGAAGAGGGCGAAGGAGTTGATGGAGAAGGAAAAGGAGAAAGATCTTGACTTGGAATCCCTGAGTGAACTGGAGGATGGGCTGGAGGAGGCCAGGGACGCTGCAGCTGTGGTAAGGAGCAGTGGAAGGTGGTGTCTCCTGCTTGCGTGGGCTTAAGTCATCTCTAACTGCAGAAATTCTAGGGAAGAACTGATAAATGAATTTCAGTGAAAGAGATCCCTTATAATCTGGTGTTTGACACAAGAATGCAGTTCAACTTGAATTGCAGTGAAAGTAGAGTTCAGAGTGTCACTGCTGGTATTTAATATTAAATATTAAGACTTAAATGCTCTTGTGTTAGTGTCTGTGGCTGCTCGTCTAATATTAACATTTATTGAAATTGTCTGGAAATAATGAGGTGCGGCTCTGCCTTAACCGTGACCAACACATATTTGGTTAGGTCAATTTTGTGATCAGCCTGCCAATGCTTGGTCATGGACACTGGGCTGGAGGGAATGTTTTATTTGATTCCTCTTTTTTGGAGGATGCTCGTGCTGCTTATCAGAATAATTTGCTGACATCTGGCTGCCCTTTCCCTGGTAAACAAAGAAAATATATGCAGGGTCATTAACATGGCTTATACACAATCTATTTTACTGTAGTATGCTTGGTTATAGTTAGCTGAATGGAAACATTAAGGAAGTGTAAGTTGCTTCAGGAGATACGTGGTCACTCAGATGCTTCTGAAAGGATGCTCAGCTCCATTGTCTCAGTAAACAGTTGAATGGAACAGATTCTGACTTCTTCTCTGGAGTCAAAACCTGTTCTTCTGGTGGCCTTATGACAGATTTAATTATGAACTTCATAAAGTTTGTAGATACTGAGAAGGTTATCTAAAGTTTACATAGCATCTCTACCAGAAGGACTCCAGGGAGTAGTGAGCAACTGAGGAGGAGGTATCTTAGATAAAGTTTTAATTAGATCATGTAGTTCCTAAATTTTGGGTTAAGTTTAGATCTCTTGATCTGTTTGAGTTGGCTGTTTTTTTTTTCCTTTTCCTGTGCTGTTAATAAAATTAAATCTCTTAGCTGTGAAGGTCTTGACACGTTTTTGTCCTTGCTGGGCAGGTGGCTGTGTTCAAGGAGCGGGAGCAGAAGGAAATTGAAGCCATGCACGCTCTCAGGGCAGCCAACTTGGCCAAGATGACCATGGTGGACCGAATCGAAGAAGTCAAGTTCTGCATCTGCCGCAAGACAGCCAGCGGGTTCATGCTGCAGTGCGAGCTGTGCAAGGACTGGTTTCACAGCGGCTGCGTGCCCCTGCCCAAAACGAGCTCCCAGAAGAAGGGCTCCAGCTGGCAGGCCAAAGAGGTGAAGTTCCTGTGTCCCCTGTGCATGCGCTCCCGCCGGCCGCGCCTGGAGACCATCCTGTCGCTGCTGGTGTCCCTGCAGAAGCTGCCCGTGCGGCTGCCCGAGGGGGAGGCCCTGCAGTGCTTGACAGAGCGAGCCATGAGCTGGCAGGACCGAGCGCGGCAGGCCCTGGCCACCGACGAGCTCTCCTCTGCTTTGGCCAAGCTCTCCGTGCTCAGCCAGAGGATGGTGGAGCAGGCGGCTCGCGAGAAAACCGAGAAAATCATCAGCGCGGAGCTCCAGAAGGCAGCAGCTAACCCCGACCTGCAGGTAGGGATGGGGAGGTCTTGCTGTTCCCTCTGCTTGCCCTAATTTAGTGTGTCAAAATGGCTTGTTTTTCTTGGAGAGGGGAGGGCAGTGAAAAGCTGAGGTCTACACATGGTAAAACTTCTTACTTCAGTGCTCTGCAGATTTTGGCTGGCTTCTGTTGGGTACGTTCCTGCTGCAGGAACAGGTCTGTTGCTCTGTACTCGCTGTCAACAGCAACTGCTGAAGTTGCTCAGAATCTAATTATTTCTGTACTGTTGACTTTTAAGGGTTGGTTTTTTCAGTTTTTGATACATAAATGTGTTCCAGTGTGTTTAGAAAAAGATACAGATCATTATGCATTGTGTAGGTAAGAAACATCAGGTCAGCTGCAACAGCTGGGTACAGGCCTCAAGATGTGTAAAACAGTTGCCACTTTAGTGTCCAAATTCCATTTTGCTCTTGACAAAATCCAGCCTCAGTGTTAATAACTTCTCATGGATTGTCATTCACAGGCATTTGGTGCCTTGTTAGTAAATTTCAGCAAGGAATGTAGTCAAACACTGATAATTCCACAGCTGCCCTCTTCACCTTGAGAATGAGTTCAGGTCATGTTATGGTGAAGAAGCTGTCATTTGTAGCACTGAAGAACAGTATGTAGATCTTTCCAGTCACTGTTATTAAAAAACAGGTAATCAGAATCTAACCAAACCTTTTACTTGGATGTTTCCCTATCTTTTTTTCACATTTTGCTGTAACTGGTCTCTTTTGTAATGTCCAGGCAGTTACCATCAGGCCAAAAGAACCACTGTTTTTTGTTAATAACTCTTTAGGTTTTCCAGATTTTTCCTGGAAATTTTATTTTTTTTATTTCCATATTCTATTTTTTTTAGGGACACTTGACAAGTTTTCAGCAGTCAGCCTTTAACAGAGTGATAGGGAGCGTGTCCTCATCCCCACGGCAGACTTTGGATTATGATGATGAAGAGACAGACTCTGATGAAGACATCAGGGAGACATATGGCTATGACATAAAGGTAAGTAATCCAGAGTGGTTTGTTTGCATGGAATAAATATAGAACACCTGTCTTATGAAACCAATTTTTTCAGAATATTTCTTGTACCTGAAGCTGTCTGTGTATGTTCTGCTCTAGTGCCTGTGGCAGAAGAGGCACTTCTTGATTTTTATCTGAATATCCACATTCTCTGAACTATTGTGAAGTTATGTAACGTTTTTATGCAAAATTTTCAAAGTCCTTTCCACCTTTTGAATTTCAAAAGGTGCCTTTTACTGCTGAGGAAAAAGATCCACTTACAAAGGGATTTGTTTATAACACTCTGGAGGATGAAGATTGTGTTTATGCCCCATTCAGAGATACCACGAGTCATAAATATAAGTATCTATATGAAGAGCTCTTGGAAAGTTTTTGCTACAGCAAAAAGATTACCCTTCAAAAACTGCATGCTGTGTAAGAAGTTTCCTGATGCCAGAGCTTTGTTCATGTTTTCATACCTTTTTCTTCATTCAGCCCTTTTATAAAGGAAGTACATGTGTTCCATTTTGGAGTGTGGAATTTTTTGAGACAAGATGTCTGGATCGTGTTGTAAAATTAGTGTCTGGATTCAGTACAGCAATTGTAACTGCAGTTAAATTTCTAAAGTATTTTATCTAGAGAAGAACTTACATGAGAAAAGGCAGTTGTGGAGAAAACCTTGTGTTTTCAAGGTATTGAAATGTCCTTTTGAAATACATAGAGACACAGGCAGTGCCACAGTTTCTTCTTGAGCAGTGTTTTCTTTCTAGTGAGAGTGTCATCTCTGCCTTTAAAGATGCTATCTTAAGAGACATGTAAATTCTTTTCAGGCAGATATTCTGGTTTATAGAGGGGCAGCACATTCTCCAGGTATGATGTGCTGTAATCTCCTATTTTTAAGTGTTTTGTTTCTCAGCAGCCTGATGCAAATACACAGATTTGTCTTACAGTCCCCTGTGAAATGCCAGCAAGAATACATTGCTGTTGGGTACTACAGCTTTTAATTGTTTTAGCTTTATATATAAAAGTAATTCCCAAAACTGTTCTTTGCATCAGGGGTCTTAATAAAGCATTTCTGAAGGATGTGGCATTTTCTGAGGCTGTGATAAAACACATGTCAAGAAAGATGGCATATGCTTGCCAGGATCTCAGGGTTTTGCAGGACCATAGTTTCATTTGTTTAATAATTCTACTGTCATAATTTAAAAATCTTGTACTTAACCCTTTTGATTTGGATATTCATAATAAAAAAGTATGTTTAAGCAAAGCTGATGGAGACCAGAAATGTATTCTGTTAGGTCAGCTAATATGATTGGACTAGAAGACAAATTTTCAGGCAACCAATCAAATTCTTCACATATAAACTAAGAGATGCAAAATTTAAAAAATCCCCAAAAAAACCCAAAAACAAAAAAACCCCACAAACCCAAAGTTGCTCATAATTTAATTAGTTCTATAATGTTGACTTTTAAGGGTTGTTTTTTTCAGTTTTTGATACATAGACGTGTTCCAGTGTGTTTAAAAAAAGATACAGATCACGATGCATCGTGTGTGAATTTGCTTGTGTTGTGGACCCTGTAGAAATAATGCTGAATTCCTAAGGGTCTATACACTGTACTTTGAAAACCACAGTCTCTGGCTTCTCAAATGCACAGTTGTTACAGAAGTAGATATCAAAATATGATCTGTTTGATTATATTAAATGTTTCTTAATTAAAACATGGCTCTTGCCTGTAAATCTTCATTTGGAGTGCAGTAGCTAGATTTTTTGTAAGGTTTGTTCCAAGCAACACATTCACTGGTCAAATCACCTGTAATTTGTTTTCATTTTTTGTCTGTTCTCATTTCTTTGCACTGGTATTGCCTATGGCTGCTAATGATGATGATTTAAAAATCTAAAAAATTACATGTTAGCCCTGAACTTCCTTCAGTGTAGTACAGTAAGTTACCCGTAACAAGATATTGTTCAAGATAAAAACCTTACTCTTGGTAGGGAGAAATATATTCCTCTTTCTGGGTAGATTTATTTTACCTTTTCATCATCTGGGCAAGATAAATTTGAATTTCCCACTTGTAGTTCTGTAGAGAAATCATTAGTTTGTATATCACTTTCTTTTAAACATACAACTGAAGGCCACAGAGAGAGACTGAGAGATACTACCATTCTTAAACTCCCTTTTTATGTCATGAAATGAGTGTCTTGCCCAATACCTTGAGCTGTTCAGTGTCTTGCTCAACACACTGAGCTGAGCACAGGCCAGTGCCATCATTACTCTGTTAATGGAAATGTTCATGACAGCCCTCTTCCTTCATTGTTTGGTTCTAATTTAAACTGATTTAACACTGCTGTAAAAGTACTGATCCCAGAGCAGCATTTGATTGCCATTATGTTAGTATTTCTTGCTGTGCTGGAATGCCCTTTTTTTTCCATACCTCTAAAATCTTCAATAATTCCTTTCTGTAGCCACTGTAATTTAGTCAGCATACCCTCGATTTATGGAAGATAAAGTCTTCATGAGTGTGCAGTCAGACTTTTCAAGCAAAATAATAAATTATGTAGGCTAAGAAAAAGCTTCTTTTCATTATGTTGACTTGTGAAGACCATACTTAAGGTGCTGAGTGAGGAAACTTGTCAAATGTTTTTCATGTATTAGCTGTAAATAAACTGACCTATCATCCACCATTTGAGTAGGGATATAATTTTTACCTTTGATCTTGGTATCTCTGATGGAGTGCTTCAGAGGAGGGCTTTATGAGCAGCAGACTGCTCAGTCTTAGTAGAATTTACTTGGAAGTAGGTATTCTCTGGATTCAGATGTTGCATGTTTTCTGTGGGTCTTTTCCAGGACAATGCCAGTGTGAAATCTTCCAGCAGCTTGGAGCCCAATTTGTTCTGTGATGAGGAAATCCCCATTAAATCAGAGGAGGTGGTGACACACATGTGGACTGCTCCCTCCTTCTGTGCTGAACACGCCTATTCCTCTGCTTCTAAAAGCTGCTCTCAAGGTATTTGCTTTTGTGTACATTGAAATAAAATTAAGTAGATAACCAGGATGAGCAGTCAGTGGGGAGTGGAGCTGCTCTGTTATCCAGCAGAGTTACATTGTAGTTAGCTTCCTGATATTTGACATATAAACCTGTGCCAATGTGTTTTGGTTGCTACTGTTTCCCACCTTAAAATGTTGTAAAAAATATGTAATTTCTTTTGGTTTTGATCTCTTCTCTTTATGTGGCTTTGCCTGGGAAGGTTTAGATTGAGTATTAGGAAAAATTTCTTCACTGAAAGGCTGTTTGGGCATTGGAACAGGCTGCCTGGGGAAGTGGTGGAATCATATCCCTGGAAGTGCTCAGAAGACATGGGGGTGTGCCACTTGGGGACATGGTTTAGTGGTGGGCTTGGCACAGACTCAATAACCTTAGAGATCTTTTCCAGCCTTAAGGATTTTGTGTCTTGCTCCTGTCTGAAAGGTTCTAGCACTCCAAGGAAGCAGCCTCGGAAGAGCCCGCTGGTTCCTCGCAGCTTGGAGCCCCCTGTGCTGGAGCTGTCACCTGGAGCAAAAGCTCAGCTGGAAGATCTGATGATGGTGGGAGATCTACTGGAGGTATCTCTGGATGAAACTCAGCACATCTGGCGGATTTTGCAGGCCACTCATCCGCCCTCTGAGGACAGGTTTCTTCATGTCATGGAGGTAGGGAACTTGAACAAATACTCTGGTGTAGAACAGAAATCCCACCACGTTCTGTTGGTGGATTTATATAAACCTGGTCTTGAATAGTTGAGTGCTCAGTTGCTTGTCATGTTTGGATTTCACCTGGAGAGAGTAGCAGCTTACAGAAAACAACAGAATAAGTGATCCAGAAATTCAGTTCTTGATCACTCATGCCCTAGCACTGTCCTCCTCAGTTAACCATATTTAGAACAGTTTTCTCAAGTAGTTCCATATGCAAACCTTATTTTAGAAGGTAACAGGTTAAAGGATTTTTGATTGTGCCTGGAAACTGAACTAACCTGCAAAAGAGTTACAAGAAACATTTAGGAAGATGAAAAGTTACACTTAGCTTATGTAACATGATACTTGTATGTTACTGAACTTTGTTACTGGGGAAAACATGTTTTGATAATGCAGACAATAAGATTCATATTCTTCCTCAGTATAACATAGACATAGCAATTTTTAAATTGATATACTGTGAAGATGTCCCTGATTGCTCTGCTCAGCTGCCAGTGCATCAGGCAGGTTTATCTGCTGATTCTGAGGTCTAGTCAAAATCACTTTGCTACATTGATGCAGAGGGCAAGGCAAGGAATGTGTGCTCGAAGAGCAGCCTCTTTGGAAGCTTCAACTCAAGCTGCTGGGTTGAAGAGCCAGAGTGGAACCCCTTTTTTACCATCTGTCAGCTGCAGCTGGGGGTCAGCTTGGCTGTATGGATTGTGTGATGCCTTGTTGGGTTACTGAGCTGTACAGGAAGGATGTAAGATGCTGGTTCTTTCTTGGCTTTTTGGTGGTGTACAGCAGTATAAGATGGAAGGTTGCATGCTGTGAACAGTGAGGTTAGGTGAACATATTAATTGGTGCCTCATTTTCTGTGTGCCATCCATACACAGTGGGTGAGTACAAGTGTTGCCAGACTGCATCAGTTACAAGTGTGGAGTACAAAAATGCCCCTGCCTCCCAAGTTCTGCTGCTTTACCACCTTTCAGCCCAAGTACTACATAAGCTTAATGTTCTTTCAGTGTAATGGTTTTGGCAGGGAGCTGATTGAAAAGCAGTTTGAATGCCAGCAAATAGCAATTTATAAATAATATGCCAGACTGTTACATTAATAGTTAAGCAAAGCTTTTTTCCAGGATTGTGGGGTGAGGAGTGTAGAGTGTGTGTGCATTGCAACATTTTGTACTTCTGGTTAACCTTTATGAATATTTGCTTGACCAGAGCTGCTCATTTTGAATTGAATATATTCTATGTCTGTTTACACACAAAATAAGTAGACTTCTGTGAAATAATCTAGAGAGGATTTGGTTTTGGGTGGAGTAGCTATATTAAGTTATGTACAGTAAACAGTCTCTTTACTGGTTTATAATATATTTTTAATCTATTAATAATTAAGGTTAAAGTATATAGCTGCATTGACTGAAATCAAGTCAGTCCTGTTTGTACAAAGGACTACACAAGTGAATCTTTCAGGTATAAATGGGACTTGTCACTGTCAATGCTACCTGCAGGGACAGAGCTGGCCAGTTTCAAGCCCCACTTGTGATCTGAATCTGTTATTTAAGAGCTCTTGATGACACCAGGATATTTACAATGTCTGCCAGTTTGGAAGCCATTCAAATAATGGATGTTGCTTTCTCTTCTTGCTTGAGTTGATGATACATTTTAAGAATTCACCAATTACTCTTTCTTAATCTCCAAAACAGCAGTTGCTTTCTCTCGAAAATAATTACAGGCAAGACTGACCTCGGATGAAAAATAAGCATCTAACAAATGATTAATCTTCTCAACTTCCATTAAAAAACAATGTGAGAAGGGAGTTGTAATAATTGCTTATTTTGCCTTCTTACCCTTGCTGGTAGTTTACTTTTTCCACTGGATATTTTTGACTGATTGTACTTTGACACAGTTGATAACACTTAAAAATTTTTATAGTATGGTGAAAATGAAGCTAAGTGCTTTTTTTGTTTAGAATTAGTAACAGTATGTTGTTGGCTAGATTTCTTCATACCATATCAGGGTAAAAGTAGAGGTAAGTACATTTGTCAGACCTCAGGTCTGCAGGAAATTTGTCTTTGAGTAAATATATGTATCTTTTTCTATGAAGGATGACAGCATGGATGAAAAACCACTGAAAATGAGAGGGAGGGACTCTTCTGAGAGGAAGCGGAAACGAAAACTGGAGAGAGCAGAGCAGTTCTTTGGAGATATGAAGCAAAAATCTAAAGAGCTGAAAAAACTGGAAAAACCCAAGAAGAAGAAGCTAAAACTCACTATGGATAAGACAAAGGAGCTGAACAAGCTGGCAAAGAAACTGGCTAAGGAAGAGGAGCGGAAGAAGAAGCGAGAGAAGGCAGTTGTGGCAAAGGTAGAACTGGCAAAGGAGAGCACAGAGAAAAAAAGAGAGAAGAAGGTTCTGGATATTCCTTCCAAGTATGACTGGTCAGGAGCAGAAGAGTCAGATGATGAGAATGCCGTGTGTGCTGCTCAGAACTGCCAGAGGCCCTGCAAGGACAAAGTGAGTTGCCCCTTTTTTTCTATCACAGGCAGTTCTGTGCTAAGTCAGAGCCCCTGTGCCAGGTTAAGTTGAGCAGCATGAGAAACCAAAGTGGTGTGGTTAGAAATGAGAGAGAATTGAGTAGTACTTGGGTAGGTGGATTTAGCAGATTAAACTGTAGGACTTCCTTATTCTCTTAGGTACTTCAAAAAAGATGGAAAATTAGAATCTGGGAAAAGGTACTCTGTTTTGATTGGAAAGTTCAGCTTCTTCAAGCTGTGGAATTTTTTTGACTGTGTGCAACATGCGTTGGCTGATTCAGAGGATTAATTCTTTGATTCAGGAAGAAATGTTCCTAGCTTTACTGTGTTCCTGAGCAGGAGTGGGATGTGTGGTGTTCCTAAATGAAACAGATTTTCTGTATTTCTTGCATACACTCTGTGAACAGTGATGTTGCAGGCTGAGTGATCTACAGACTTCAGTGGTTCATTTTGCTTGTTGGAGATAAATAATCAATTATTTTAGACCTGATTGAATTATTACAAAAGAAACCTGATCTTCCTCTTTGTGGCACTGCCTGTCGTGATTGTCAGCTTTTAACACAGACTGATGATCAAAAATTTTTTCAAAATGTTTTTTCTGTACTTTTCTACTTTCTATAGGTGAATGCCATACTTGTCAAAAATTGGCAAATACTGCAATGTAATGACTGAAGCTGCAGCTGTTTGTCCATTACTAATCACTTTGGAAAATTTGTTCAGGAGTAGTTGGCTACAAACTAAAGTAACATCTGTATGATGATAATGTTTCTTCATTTTAAATAGGTTGCCACTACTGTTGTTTTTCTGATATTTTACTTTCCCCTGTAAGTAGAAAGCAGAACTACAGCAGTAACAATTTTTAGAGCTGTACCAGTGGATGCCATTAAAATGGAGAATCTCTGATTCTTATCCTGCAAATTGTAGTTTCTGCCCACTGACTCCAGTTAACATATACTTTTATTCAAAGAATTACAGAAATCAAATCAGTAATCCTTTTTCCTTCCTACATTCTAACTCATTTTTTGTCTTTTCCACATTGTTCTACAGCAAGTTCAGCTCAAAATTTGTATTGTAGCTTAAATGTTCTGACACTTAGGACTTATATTTACAAAAGCTGGTGTTTGATAATGCAGTCTAGGAGGGTGTGTTTGGAGACTCTCACCTCTGCTGAGCATTTTAAATGTGTTTTAGCACATCTTTCATCTGAGGAGAGCTGAGTCATCTTCCTCAGGAGTAGTAGAGTGTTCTTGTGTTGTTGCAGTGTAAGGATGCAAGAGGGGCAAGGTTTGTTGGAAGAGTTCGTTTCCATTAAACTGAAGTAGCTTGTTAAACAAGCTCTATAGGGGAGTTAATTTTTGCCCCAGAGCTTTTGTATTCTTGGTAGGTTTAACAGAAGGTCTCTTCTTCACAGAAACTGTGCCTGTGTGTCCTTGCTGGTAACAGGCTGTGTGTTGCTGATGTGCTCTCTTGCAGGTGGACTGGGTGCAGTGTGACGGGGGCTGCGACGAGTGGTTCCATCAGGTGTGTGTTGGGGTCTCCCCAGAGATGGCCGAGAATGAGGATTACATCTGTATAAACTGTGCAAAGAAACCCCTGCAGGGCCCCAGCAGCCCTGCCCACGCCTCACCTCCTCCCTTCTTGCTGAGCTACAAACTACCAATGGAAGATCTCAAGGAGACGAGTTAGCAACTGCTCCATGCCCAGAACTTGTTGGGAAATGGACCACTGGAACCCTTCGGAACGAGAGGGGTTTGAGGCTGATGTAGCTCCCGAGCTTCCCTTCCAAGGATGTACAGATGTGCAGCAGAGCTGGTCCCTTCCTGCAGCGGGAATGTCAGGCACAGAGGCACCGGCTGGGCTGTGCAGACACTGCCTGATGAGGGGCTCCAGCCAGTGCTTTCTGACTTGAGTGTTTCCATCTCTGAGTGTGCCTGTTGCTCTCAAGGACTGAGCAAACTCGAGGCTGTCAGACACTTCAGGGTGTCAGAAGTACATGTTGGCAGTGGGGCTGGCCTGGAGCTGGTGGGCATAGGCTGGAGCTCTTACACCTACCTGGTTATCCTGAGGAGGTGACTTTGGAAGTCTTTTGCCTCTCTGTGCCAACCCAGTGTGTAGAGCAATGTCTTGGGAGAATGAAAATGCCTCCATATCCAGGCAGCTAACACTACACTATAAGGGTGGGAGCAAGTGGATGAATTTCTTTTAATTTCTCTTTTGTAGCTAAAGGGCAGAGGAGCTCATAATGGCAAAAATCAGCAAAAGTTCTGTTTACCAAAAAAGAAACCCAACTCTACTCCACTAGGCAAATTCTTTTCCTCAGTGGGAAACAACGGATCTTCCTGTCCTGAGGAGGGCCAGAAATCATTGATAATGTCTAGCTAGACCAGAACTTGGGAAGAGCAGAGTGCTTCCCTTTCCACAGGGATGCTCTCTCCTGTTCTAGGCTTTGCTTAGAGTTCTACACTCCTGCACGTTAAAGTTGTGTGGCGCAGGATGGAGCTGGCAAGGAGGTACAGCACCCGGGGCACAGCTTCTGAGATCTGTACCAGGGATGGGAAGGAAAGAAGACAGCCCACTTACCTCAGAGGTTACACTGACACGTGCTTCTGTGAAAAGTTTCACTCACAACTTTCCAGTATCACCAGGCTACAGGCGTGGCCTCCTGTGATACCAGCAAGCAGTCTGCAGATACTGTTCACAGTGCAAACCCCTCCCTGCTGGCTTTGCTGGGTGTGTACCAGTGTACAATCAGCAACAGTTCTTGTTTGAAGTTGCCCCTGGCTTTGCCGGAGGACCAGAGGGCTCGGGGTCATCCTGGGTGACAGTTGTTTTAGTAAATCCATTTTTAAAGAAGGACTTGTTTTTACTTTTTTCTAAATGTCTCAGACTACTGACTTGTTCTATAAATAGATTATTTTTCTTTGATTTTTTTATACTTACCACTGTTAACCAGCAGCACAGACAGAGGTTCACAAAGCAAAAACCTGCCCGTGGGCTTGGGTTTTTTTACTCCATTCCTTCCTTGTAGTACAAGGAATTAGCAGTTACCTTCCCCATTCTAGCTTGACCAGCTGCCTGTGTTTAAATAGGTAAATACATTTCATGTGCTACCTTTGTATTTGGGTTTGTTCCTATTAGTGGGGCATCTGGGCCTTAATGACTCCAGTGGATGCTGGCCTTGTGTATGTGAATGTCTGAAGTCAGCCCCTGGGCTGTCTTGTCCCCCTCTCCACTCGCTCCCTATTGTTTCCATTCTTCTGCAGTTCTAGGAGTGTTGTAAGTAGTGTCCAGTCTTACTAGGAGCTGGATTGGGATTTAAAGAAATATTGACAAAAACAAAGGTGTGCTGTCTTGACTGTTCTGTGTCCCTTCTCTTGTTCTCTGATATTTGGAAGTTTATTTATTTGGCAGAATTATCCATCCAAAAAAAAAAAAAAAAACCAACTCAGCTCAGGTAGACGGAACTTCTTTGTTTTCTTCTATGTGTGCCTGCTACCTGGGAAGAGGGAAGTGTGCAAAAGGAAAAGAAATAAGATGGAGCACAGAAGATCCAGAGTCTTGGGAGCTTTGAGTGCAAATTGGACACAGACTTCTAATTCCTGCTCCTTAAAGACTTAATGTGATGTCAAAAGCAAGCTGTGGTTAAGCGTGTGGCTGAACGGGCACCCTAGCAAATTTAAGAGTATTATTTGTTTACTTATTTATGAAGGAGTCTATGCTTTAGATAGACATACCCTCTTTTTGCTTCCAATTACTTTTTTTTTTTCTTCTCTATGTACACTTAGTTTTGGTAAACTGATTTAAACTGTTGTTACTTTTCCTTCAAGCTTTAACTGACGGTACTACATAAATGTTTCCCGATATGGAGTGGATAAACTATCTGTCACAGATGTTTAATCGTTCCAGAAGTAGACTAGTACAAGATTTCTTAAAGAATCCCAGTGTTCTGTATTCTTTCCTGACTCCTAGAATTTGTGACACAACAGGGGAAATATGGTTAGCATCTCCTGAGCATATCCTCGTGACCATTCCTGCATTCTCTGTTGCGATGAAGTCGTTGTATGTAATTACCATCAACTGGAAAAGAGATCTTTGAGTAAACCTGCATTGCATGTTCCTGTTTCTCTGTGTAGAAGGTGTGGTGGAGAGTGTTGACAGAAGCACTAGTTACAGCAAGATGGAAACAAACAGCTCTACAATGCAACTGTGGTCATTCTGCTTGTAACGAGCACAGGAAAGAGCAAACAGCAGAAAGAAATGTGCAAATCATATGCAAAAGTCACGTTTTTAGTAGCTGTTTTTCATGTAGCCACGTGGAGAGCCTCTGTTCCACTCTTGGAAGGAGGTTGCCACACTTTTTTCTGGTCACAGATGTCTTGTTTGCTTTTGGATAAGGTGTTCATAAACTGAAGACCATTATTAGCTTTACATCTTATTGTTTTAAGCTTGTTTTTTAAGAGCGTAATTCCTATCGAAGGATTGCTGATAGTATGAACTTATGAATAAATGTTAACTTTTGGAAAAACCTGCAGTTTAGTGGTTGAAAAACCCGAAGCTACAGCTGTGGTGTTGTCTCCAGATCCTAGGGGTTTGAATTCTTATAAAAGCATATGCAGAGAAGCCAGCCAAAGCCAAGACAAAAATGTTCTTACAGGTCTGCTACAGCTGTGGGAAAACTCATGCTTTGGGGTCAAAATCTCAGTACACAAAAAATATTAGCTTGTGTATCTAGAAAGGTGCTTGTCTTAATGCTGTAGTCTACAAAGGCTACTTGCCACTGCTGCTGTAATTTCTTTTCATGTGTCTGACACAAAAGGTCAAAGAAATTACCTGAGCTGTTGTGAGGAGCTGAAAATGGCCAGGACTTGAGTTGTATAGCTTGTACAAACTATGTGTTTTCAGGTTTTTCTTGTAAAAAACAGGGCCTGGGATTTGGCAGCTTTGCTTGCAGAGAGATAAATGTCACTGCTGACCTTCAGTACCATTGCCTTTAGGATTTATGCTTTTGACAGATCTGTAGCTGAATGCTGGTGCAGCCTGGACCCCTGGTAATGAAGACTTAAGAGTCTTCAGCAACTTCATATTGTTGATATTTTGGGAATTATCTGAAGGGATTGGAACACAGTCACACGGCAGAAGGGAACAGGCAGTTGTCTGTTATATCAGCCACACTGTGAAACTTGCATTGATCTTTTCAGTTTTTAGATCATAGAGCAGTTTAGGTTGGAGGGTATTTCTGGAGGTCATCTGGGTCAATCTCCTGACCAGAGCAGTGGCAACTTTAAAAGTAGGTGAAATTTTTCAGGGTTGTGTCCAATAAAATTTTGAGTTTTTCCAGGGATGAGCATTCAACGACTTCTCTGATTTCCCATTTGGTTCTGTAACATCTGTAGTGCAGAATTCACTTGCTGTAATGTGCCTTTGCCACAGTCTGGCTCTGTGTTTTCTCTGATTAGGTAGTTGGAGACTGCAGGTCCTGCAGCCTTGGTTTCCAAGCTGAACAAATCCAGCTCAGCCTCCCTTGAGCCATGGCATGAGCTGCAGCCTTCTGACAGTCTTGGTGGTCCTTGTTGCAGGTTGCTCCATGTACTGAGGAGCCCAAAACTGGACGTGTTACTCTAGGTACAGCTAAAAGTGTTGAATACAGGGGGGAAATGACTTCCTTCAAGCTGCTGCTCACACTTTTGCTGTGCAGCCTCCTGCAGGGCTGGCCTGGATAACTGCAGGTACTGCTGACTCCTTTTCATTCTGGCTGCTGTTAGCCCCAGGTCTTCTGGTTTATAATTTCTCAGATACAGGACTTGAACTTTCCATCAGCACATCACTTCAGCCAGGAAAGATCCAAGTGAATGGCAGTTCCCTCCTCCTGTGTTTTGGGCTTTGCTGCTCCAGTCCTCTGCCAGCATTGTTTGATGTCATCTGAGTGTGCTCTGTACCACTACCCAGGTGGGTGAGAAAAAACACCTGAGGTACTGCACTTGCAGCTGTCTCCAAGATTTCCAATTGGTGACTGCTGGAGCCTGAGTATTGCTGTCCACCCCATTTTTCACTGCCATTGTAGGTTGTCCATCCACTCCCCCTGAGTGTGTTTTTGCTGTAAGTCAGGGTGAACACCCACTGCTCTCCCCTTGTCCATGGAGTTCATCACAGAAGGCAGCCAGACTGGGCTGAGGTTGTAGTGGTGACTGTTACCAGCCACGTTATCCCTCACGGGTGTGGGTGTTGGTTTGAGGAGGATTGGTTCCATCACCTTTCTCCTCTTCATTGAATGGGCATCATGCACAGAGGGTTCATTACAGTCTATCAAGAAAGTGATCTTCCTGTTTTTCCTAGGGCTCTGATTGTTTTCTAAGGGTGGAAAAAGTTTCTTAGTATCACTCCTGAAATGACTGTTAAAATTGCTGTAAGAAGTTGAGTGCTGTGGTCTGCTAGAAGCAACACTTGAGGCTTACTCCAGTTAGATGCAAAGGAAAAGCAGGGAACTCCTTCACATCTTCTCCAGCTGTGGTCACTGTGTTTGGTCAGCCTGCCTGAACCAAACAGGAGCTCTGCTTGGAGCACCAAGGCACTGGGGAGGTGCCACAAGTCCAGCCCTTATCAGCATTGCAGCCATGCTGGCTCTGGGAGGGTGAAAAATGTGGGGGGCAGCTGGAAACTGGCAGGGTGATAAATGTGTGGGGAAACTGCACAGCAGGACATGGAGAGCACTGAGCTTTGGGTAATGGGGTGGCTTGGCACAAGTGAATGTTAAGTTGTAGGTCAAGAAAATGAAAGTAGCAAGGATTTATTGAAAACTATTTGTAAGGAGCTGTGCTCTGAATGGCTTTGAAACAAAACCTCTGCTGCAGTGAGTAGTTCTAATCTGAGTGGGGTGTTGTGTCTTATTTGGTGGCTTTTCAGAGGTCACTTTTTGGAGTCTGTGTATCACCCCCACACTCCCCCCAAAAAGGCATTTAAAGCCAAGTGCCAGAGGGAGCTGCTGTGGGTGTTTATGTCCCAGGAGAGCAGCCACCTGTGCACACAAGTGCTGGGATGATGGTTGGTGTCTCTGGCCAGCCTGGCACCTGCTTTTCATGGGTGGGTGATAGTCCAGCAGAGGGAAGGGCTGCATCCTTTGGCTCAGCCCCCAGCAATGGGCGAGGCTGTCACTCCCCAGGGAAAAGAGGTGCTTGGTGCTGCTGTGCTGTGACAGGAGCAGTGCAGCCACCCAAGTCCATGCTATGGATTTGAGAAACAGCTCAGGCTTTAGTGGCATGTGGAACGAGTACCACATTGTTTACTTCTGTCAGCTAATGGCTTAACTTTTCACTTCATACAGCTGGAAATGCAGTCAGTCTGGACATTGTCAGTGTATTGGTAGTGCTACATCCCATTATTTCCTTACCTGGTGGTCTCTTAGGCAGGAGGTAGATGCTTTAGCTTTGCCTGGAAACATTCCTGGGAGTGACAATGGCTGCTGAGAATGCCTGCTGGAGAGGTGGAATCACTGGCAGCACCCTGCCTGATGCTGAAGGACCAGGCCCAGATGAGTGTGATGCTGCTGCTCTCACCTGCTGCCAGAAGGGGAGCCCCACAGGTGTTTCCCATTTCCAGGTTTGTATCTCACTGGAGAGGTTCGAGCACAGCCCACTTCCTCACTTTCTGGGCCTTTCCACCTACCCTGGCACTGGTTTCCTCTGGCTTCTACTGCAAATAGTGTTGGAATGGTCAGACTCTGGGATTTAGGGCAGGTAGAGAGCACAGTTAGAGAGCTGAACAAATAAACAATGGAAGAGTGCACAGCCACAGGAAAAGTGTTTATAACTTAGAGGATTTTTTTTTTCTTGCTGAGTAGTGTGATTCTAGGAAGATAA